CTATATGCGCTCACCTCCAGGCCAGTATCGTCGCCGTTCCCGGTCGCCAGGCTGGGATAGACGTCGTGATGCGTCTCCCCCTCGTCGCCGTGATAGTCCTGTCTACGGCGAGTACCATGGTGACTCTCCCGGTCGCAGAGGTGGTGATCCCCGCGGCCGGCGTGGGAATGATTATCGTCAGCGCAGCCCTCCTGGGCGTAGACGTCGTACTCCGTCTCCTCCCCGTAAGGACCCTACTCTGCCGCCTCCCGGGCCCAAATTTATCGAGTGGGATTACTCCATCGGCCAAGGCAATATTAAAGGTCCGTACCGGCTCCATCGCAAACGCTTTGTTTCCGTCCTCTCAGCTAACTTTCTATACAGTTTTGAGTCGAACCCTTTTCGTTGGCGGTGTGACGTGAGTCGATGTCTGTGATTCTCTGCATCTCGGATTCTAACAGCTTAATAGGTCATCCGAGGCGCACTTGCGCTCTCTATTCGGCAAATTTGGCATCGTCCAGACTTGTATTGTCAACATAGATAAACGTCATGCTTTCATCAAGATGATCAGCCGCCAGGATGCTGTGCATGCCCGTGAAGGTATGGAATCCTATAAGGCTGGGGACATGCAACTTAGAGTAAGTACGCCTTGCCGTAATCAATGATCGTGTCTAATCAGTCTCCAGACTCGATGGGGTGTCGGATTCGGACCGCGTGACTGTAGCGACTACCAGACAGGGATTAGTATAATTCCGGTTGAACGACTCACGGAAGCAGATCGGAAATGGATGCTCACTGCTGAATATGGTGGGACCGGAGGCAGACCCATCGAGAGTGGCATGGTCGTTGAAGAGCCAGATATCGAGATCGGTGCTGGAGTCTCATCCAAAGGTTTGTTTATCTCACAGTCGAACTTAGGAATACCACGAATTGACTTATTCCTGTAGCTATCAGCAGGCGGATTGCAACTGACACCGGGGGCAAACGGGGCCCTATCTCATCCCGCACTCAGCAGGACCGCTTCCCCCGACCAGACCGGGACGGACCGTCGGCTAGAATGGGCCCTGGTGGTCATGGTGGCCAACCCGATCGAGATATCGCCAACGCAAACAATGTCGGCGTTCCTCCTGCTGTGCCCGGCTTTGGCTTTTCCTTTCCAGGTATGCCCATGTTCCCTCCAGGGTTCATGATGGGAGGAGCACAAGCAGGAACATCTAGCGGGTCATCACAGCCCCCACCCCCGGGCCAAGGGGGCAATTAAGTTCTTGATCAAGTTCGACCTGATAAGGCAAATATTGCTACAGTGAAGACAACGTCTTTACTTCTTTCATTCGGCCTTTGTTTTGATACGAGCTTTATTTCTTATATTTCGTTGTAAATCATATACGGAACATGGCGTTGGAACTCTCTTCCTCGAACCCTGCAGAGGCATATTTACATCAGTGGAAGTGATATTTACCCCGTTTGAGTGGGCAATCGGACATTGTGGACACTGTCTTGTCTTCCTGCGTGTGCTGGTACTTCTCAGGCGATGCCATTGGCTTGAATTCGAGTCTCTCATTGAGAAAATGGTGATGCGTCGCTTTCTTTTGTCCCTTATTTCTTTTCCCTTTTTCCTTGAACTTGGGCGGCTTTGTGTGGTTTATTCTCTCCCATATTCGAAAATCAGCAATGCAGTTGCATATCTGCTCGGTGCACTTTTTTCCCCTTCAAATAATGTGGTGTCTGGCGATATGTTGGGGCATTCAATTCCCGTTTGTATTTAACCCAAATAAATTTGTTGAAAATAGTTCTTAAGGGACTTGAAGTTTGCAGGCTCTTGATGCCGTACCAGTACTCAAAACATTACTATGTCTTGAACCATAGAAAGGGGTGAGCACTGAAGAAAAGTACTGTTTTGCACATTACTGAGGTTGTTGTTATTTCTAACCTATAGGTTTCATAAATACTACTTCGGCCATTACTATTCAGATCAGATGTACGTTGTTATATTATATACATTATATACGGAACGTGTATATACATACATACATACGTACATATTGTTTACATTGACACAACTTCAGATTTTGCAAGTTCATACATAGTGCCCGTAATACTTTGACTCCTTCCCTAGCAAGCCTTACGTATATACACTCCAGGTCAATTCGCAAGTGTTCTGATGTTGCTAGGTTACTTCAACGGCTCCCGATAACAGGTACAGACAGTCTATCGCCTGACCGTCCCCTCATTGCAACTCCCTATTGGGTGCGTGCAGCACTGGAAATCTTGAATGACTGTTCGAAGTCGGCGATGATATCGTCAATGTGCTCAGTCCCGACGGAAATACGGATAGCGTCTTCAGTAACACCAGATTCAAGCCGTTCTTGCTCGGTCAGTTGCTCATGCGTCGTAGACCAAGGATGGATTGCAAGCGTTTTGGAATCTCCGACACTGCCAAAATGATCAGCTAAAGCTATAGCGATTCATAATCACCGCCTGAGGGACGTACTTAGCTAGATTGCTAATCAACTTGAACCCGTCGACGACCTCGCTTCCAGCAGCAGCGCCTCCCTTGACACCGAAGGATAAGACACCTCCATAGCCACGCTTCAGATAGCGCTTAGCGGTACTATGGGTAGGATGATCCTCAAGTCCTGGATACGAAACCCAGCTCACGTTGTCGTTTGTACGCAGCCAGTTCGCCAGAGCCAATGCATTACTTGCATGCCGTTCACCACGCAAGCTAAGAGTCTCCAGACCAAGGATTAGCTGCTGTGCGGCAAATGGATTTAATGCCGACCCGAGATCCCGAAGGATCTCAACGCGGACACGAATTGCGAATGCTAAATTCCCGAAGGTCTCCCAGAACTTCAGGCCGTGGTAACCTTCAGACGGCTCCACAAACTGCGGAAATCGGGCGCCATGTTTACCCCAATCGAACTTTCCGCTATCTATCACGACACCACCGATAGTGGTACCGTGGCCACCAATCCATTTAGTTGCACTGTGCACGACGATATCGGCACCATGTTCGATAGGACGGCAGTAGTAGCCGCCGGCCCCGAAAGTGTTGTCAACCTAGTCCATGGTCAACGTTTGCGCCAACTAATCACAAAATGCACCTGTACATACTACCAAGGGTACACCTTTCTCATGGGCAACCTTGGCGATAGCCTCAAAGTCAGGCACATTATACCGAGGGTTTCCAATCGTCTCGACATAAACGGCCTTGGTGCGGTCATCGATTGCCGCACTGATATCCTCTGGTTTGTCTCCTTGGACAAATTTGGTGGTGATCCCTAACCGGGGGAAGAAAACTTTGAACTGGTTGTATGTGCCTCCGTACAAGTTACTGGTTGAGACGATATTGTCACCTGCATGCGCAAGTGCTGAGATTGCCATGAACTGAGCCGCTTGGCCAGAAGAGGCTGCTACCGCTGCAACACCACCTTCGAGAGCTGCAATACGCTTCTCGAAGACATCGACTGTCGGCTGTGAGGAGTCAGTATGGTTAGCTCTTTTACGGCTAGCGACCTTTCGTCACTTACATTCATGATACGACTATAGATATTGCCAAACTCTTTGAGGCCGAAAAGCCTGGCGCCATGTGCAGAATCATTAAATGTATAAGACTGCAGATGTTAGTATCACTTAACAGACCACTAGATACGACCGGAAGGAAAAGAAAGGAGTACTCAGTGGATAAACTAACCGTGGTCGCATAAATAGGCACAGCGCGAGCGTTGGTCGCAGGGTCAGGCTCCTGGCTTGACGTCCATTAGTACTCAGAATCCGTATGAGCTGGTTGGGGTCTGTGAGGAATGAAAATATACCCAGCATGAAGCTGAAGAGTTTCGAAATGAGGTTGTCGTGACTCAGCCATTACTGCCTTTGAATGAAACAGCTGCTGTCTCTTTGTAGGTGGAGTGTCTATCAAGGGTTAAGGTCGTGTAGAGTTGAAACACCAGCAGTTACTACTCAAGACTTCCAGGAGAGCTCTTAAGGTGGAAAAGATAACTACGTTGCTTTTAAATGTGCGGGGATAGAGTAGTAATAATACTTACTGCGCAATTCCGATGGCGTGATCGGTCAAGGGAGGGGGAGGGAAGAACAAGAAAAACGAAAGAAAGCAAAGAAGTATACTCTATCCCTCTATACACGATCATTACTCCTTTTGCTGACCTCAATCTGTACTGGAACTATGGTGATTTGACACCAGGTAAGGCTACATTTCTATCTATCTTTGACAACTTCCACAGGTGTATACATAGGTATATACATAATTATAGTAGAGAGCAATCCATACAGACGGTACGGGAGTACTAGTACCAGGTACGAGGCTCAGAACACTCGATCCCGAGAATATGTGGGGTTAGGGATTGGGGTTCGTGTTTGTGCGGAGGGAAAGAATAACATCAGTACTACCTGATTACCGAGGATTAGCATCATACAATTCCGCAGAAGGCGTCCAGATATATAAATCAAGTATAGGAATCTCGATATTTCCGTGACGCTGGATAAACCAATTACGTACTCCGTAGTAACTAGTTACTAACTAACTACTAGGTAGTAGGATACTAAGCTAAGTGAAGAGAATAATTCCCCACAACCTGGTTGAGTAAATCGGTACTCCAAGGTAAATTGCCATGGATTAGTACCAGTACTAAACACAACACGGTACTCTAGATAATTGAGGCCATTTGTACACAGTAGGGCTAGGTACTCGAAGTCACGTTTTCCAGCCCTATAAGTATATACTAACATGAATAAAACATACACACCACAGTATACCTGAATCACAGGAGAAACTGCTAACAAGTAGATCCTTGTCACATTCAATCAGAATTTGCCAACAAACCAATCTGCATGCCCTCTTAAATTAGCATCTCATGAGATCATTGTCACCCACTCCTCAGCCAATCCTTCGTGTTCACGAGTCCGCCGTGAGGCGCTTGTCGTCATAGGCAGCCATATCGATGATCACAAGCTTTCACCAAACGAAACCCCCAATAATTCAGTCATGGAGGAATGACCCGCTTGTAAATGTCGGTCAACTCTTTCTCCCTTGAATACCAGGGAACTTTCCACAATCTTCTGCTTTTCGTATAACAAGCGACCATATAAAAAAAGGCAGTTACTCGAAGCGTTAACCTGACGCAGATATTCACCTCAAGGTCGGCCGAAACAACATATTTACCAACTCGTCCCGCGCCGCCAAGCTGAAAACTAGGGCAGGGACTATCTTGAGAGAGCATCGAGGGCACAGTTTCCTTGCCGAAAAACGGCAAGAGATCTTCGACGACAAAGTTTACCACATGCTCTTAAGTCACAGGCCTTGCTACATATTTCTTTCCAACTTTCTGTTCTGCTCAGATTCGTTTGATACCTAATCTTGACGGAACGGTAGTAGCAACATCGCCAGGCATTGTGTCGCTGTGCTCATCCCGATTGCGTTGTGGACTACAAGAAAGGCCAAAGAGGCTCACTATCTGCTGGCCGCGATGGCTCTGGATTTTCCCTGGATTTATCCTGTTCGGGTTGTTCAAGTGATTTTTGCGATCATCAACCTTGGTTTGACCGCATACAGTTAGTCGCCTTCTTATCGCTCTATATCAAGCTGAAAGGACGCTGACTCCCAAGGAAAGTTGTCAGCGTGTACAATAATGACACCGTCAATTTCATGCTTTTTAATAGCATTTGGACGGCTTTCTTCGCAACTCCGTACCTCGCCATTGCACCTGTGCACTTCCCCCAAATCGCACATCGCTTCGTTATACCAGCCGTAGAAGCGATCACCATGGTTTTCTGGTTTGCAGGGTTTATTGCCTTGGGTGTTCTGCTTCCTGCTCCTAGGTTCTGTCACTGGAGCGCCTGCAACTGTGCTCAGGCAGCCACGGTATTTGGAGCATTCGAGTGGTATGTCCTCCCTGGTTGAGAATGACTCGTGGTATTATAAAGCCGCTGTACTATTAGTTGCTAATATAAGTATACAGGGCTTTGTTTGCGGTCACGACAGTAGTGGCTGTTCTCGGTGCTTTGCGTACCAGGTCAAGCACTAGTACGAAGCCTGCCCCTCAAACTGCTGCTCACGTTGGCGTCTAAGCGGAATAATAGCGGTGGTGCCGTGAGCTGCCTCCAAGCGATTAGAACCAGTTTCCGGGTGATAGTATGTTATGAAGCTCAGCATTGCGTGTTACATCATATATGTTACGATATCTGCGCTAACCGCGGTCGATTCGATTCAATGATAATGTTCATAATGAAAGGAGTGCCGAAGCATGAAGAAAGCCAAAGGGAACCCGATAACTTAACGAGAACAGGCTCCAGTGGTTTTGCGATAGTCTATCCTAATATGTCTTGCAACTTGAAGGGTTTACCTCTGATGGCTTGCGTTTGAGTCTTTCGAGTTGTCATTGATTTTGAGTGGATACCCCTTTAGTTTACCCATGTATATAATTAGATGTGGAGCTCATTGGGACGAATTAATACCTATGTACGTGTCTATGCGTGGTCAATGTATGATCTTTATTCCAGGTTCTGAAGTGGCTACAATTGTACTTGTGTCATCATGATCACATGTGCGAGTTTCATTTTACAGTGTGTCCAAGATTGGGCAAGGTGATACTACACAGTAGGACAACTGGACTTATGTAGTCATAGGCTTATCGTGCAGGAGATCATGTTTGCATCGGATCCTATTGATTGATTTTAGGATGGTTCTGCAGGTACAAAGGATAGAGACCACTGCAGAGCATACATAGATACAAGATATCGGATTCAAGCATGAGTCCAGGAATCTCCTTGGTACCTAGATCTACTTAAGCTAGGTATCCGCTTCGGAGGAGGATGAAGCTATTAGTTAGGGTTCTTTTTCCTACTTCGGGAATTCCGTCCCCGACCGCAGCCAAGGGATGGAAAGAAACATTTAAAGAGCCAGGCCACCCCCGGAATTTTGGACTCCTTCGAAGATAACAGGATACTAGTACTAGATACACTTACAGGGCTCTACTCCTTTACCGCTAAAGAATTAAGCATTTGTTAGCATGAGCATGAATTGAGAGAACAGGACAAATTGGTACTGGTTTCTCCTTTTCCGCCACCGTCCGTCACGAACTTGAGAGAAAAAAAAAAAAAAAAAAAAATTTTCCCCCCTCCGCCCACAATTCCCTATCAACGGCCCACTTCAAGATGGAGCGGGTCAGGAAGATATTCGCCGCCGCCAACGTCGGGTTTCGTGCGCCGTGCGGAGGATGGAAAAGTTTTCAGCGGTTGAGTGCCACAGTACATTTGACTAAAAAAAATTATCTAGCCTTCCAATGGATTGAAAATCTTTCTCCTTCCCTACGAGGGTTCTTCTTTTTACCCCCCTCCTAGTTAGAAGTTATCATTATTATTACCATTATTATCAGTCATTAGGGTTATCTATCTGCCTCTCTTTAGCCTATCTTACCAGCGTTACATCCGTTGCACTGAGAAGATCTCCATCTCTCCCCTCACTCTAATCATTCTTTTTACATAACATTTTCTGGGTGTGCACACATAATCGCTTGTTTCCCATCGCTGTTATTCGCCGTTACTGTTATCTCCAACACCCCTAAAGGAGTAGTTCTATGCTCGACGCCGACGACAACCACTGTACCCCGTTCCTTTGGGTTGAGCACTAGTTTGCTCCACAAAATAGAAAGGCTCTGCCCGCTGGAGTGCAGTGGTGACTCAAAAAGAATTCCGGTGGAGCCAGCTCTTCCAACCTTTTCCTCACCTAGAACCTTTCGACTTCTGCATCTCACGACTTGCTCTTCGACCTAGCCTCACCCTCAGTTATCGGACTATCTAGGTCCAAACATGGCCTTCGAGGACGTGTTTAACGTCACGCCAAAATCCGAGAGAAAAGAAGCAATGGCCAACGATGAGGCCTTTCAGGTCAATGCTACCACCCCGTCGTCCGATTTGAAGGACATGGACTGCGAGAAGCATGGCGCCACTCGCGAGTCGAACCCAGTACCGGATCTAAAGCGCCAGCTCAAAAGCCGGCATCTGCAAATGATTGCCATTGGTACGGAAATCCTCTCATTGCTCCCTTGTCCTCCCTCCCCCCCCTTCGCCTCATATGCCCGTCGTTATTGGTTGGGACTCGCCCACGGAAAGAACCCTTGCTGACTAGAATCAGGTGGTACAATTGGTACAGGTCTTTTCATCAGCAGTGGCACCGCCATCGGTACAGCAGGCCCGGTAGGCGCTTTGATTGCATATCTCTTCGTCGGCTCTATCGTGTACTCCGTCATGCAGGCCCTGGGCGAAATAGCAAGTTATCTGCCAATTCAAGGAGCGTTCACGTCCTACGCAGCTCGATTGATCGACCCCAGTCTTGGTTTCGCCATGGGATGGATCTATTGGTTTTCCTGGGCCAGCACCTTTGCACTAGAGTTGACTGCGACGGGCTTGATCATACAGTTTTGGGACAAGGATATCAACATCGCCATTTTCATCGCAGTGTTCTGGGTGGTTATTACTTGTTTCAACTTCCTACCTGTTAGCTTTTACGGTGAGCTGGAATTCTGGTTTGCTAGTATCAAGGTGATCACGGTTATTGGATTCATGATCTTTGCAATTTGTATTGATGCCGGGGTCGGTGATAAAGGATATCTGGGATTCACCTATTGGACTAATCCAGGTCCATTCGCACCTTACGCCGATATTTCTCCAGACTCAACAGCCAAATTCGTGAGCTTTTGGGCTGTGCTTATTCAGGCGGGTTTCTCATACCAGGGCACGGAATTGGTTGGTATTGCAGCAGGCGAAACTGAAAATCCCCGCAAGACCATTCCTTCTGCGATCCGCAAGACTTTCTACCGCATTCTGTTCTTCTTTGTATTGACCATCTTCTTCATCGGCCTGTTGGTGCCCTACACCAACGAAGACCTGGTTAAGGATGGAAACGATGCAAACTCTTCACCGTTCGTCATTGCGGCCAGACTTGCGGGCGTCAAGGTCCTGCCTCATATCATCAATGCCGTCCTGTTAACTGTTGTGCTTTCCGCCGCCAACTCCAATGTCTACAGTGGTAGCCGTATCCTAATCGGCCTGGCTCAAGAAGGGCTTGCCCCGCGCTGGTTCAAGAAAACGTCGAAAAAGGGAGTGCCCTACTACGGCGTCATGTTCACTGCAGCGTTCGGCTTGCTCGGTTTTATGAATGTGTCTAATGCTGGTAGTACGGTGTTCAACTGGCTCCTCAACATCGCGGGTGTGGCAGGCTTCATCACTTGGTGTTCCCTAAATGCCTGCCACCTTGCGTTCATGCGAGCTCTGAAAGCTCGCAATATGTCTCGTGACCTTCTTCCCTTTAAAGCGATGTGGCAGCCCTGGTATTCCTGGTATGGGCTTTTCTTCAACACATTGATTATTTTGACTCAAGGTTTCACTGCTTGGATCCCAAGTTTCAGTGTAACGGATTTCTTTATCGCCTATATCAGCTTGATTCTCTTCGTGGTACTCTATCTGGGACATAAAATCTTTTATCGCACGTCGTTTGTTCCCCCACTCGAGGCCGATATCGACACGGGTAGGGTTGCTCTTGAAAACGAGTCATGGGAAACCACCACGACGAAGTGGTATCAAAGGATCTTCCGCTCGTTTCGAGGTTAAATGAGACGTTTGAATTACCCACGAGAGTATCGCTGGCATTTTCGAGCGATCCCAGGTCTTTCCTTTATAATTTTCTATTTTGATTTGCTTCTTTTGCACATAGGAGACGAGCATATTTATATATATATATGTGTGTGTGTTATAGACATATATATATCTTTGAGTAGGCTGCTCGCTGTCGACTCAAAGGAAACCGGACTTGCATGGTGGGACGATGGATGAGGGTGTCATATATACACGGGTTCTTCAGGCTGACGCATTTCCCTCCGTTTTGTACAATATTCGAACTTTCCCTAGTTTTTTTGCATGGCATGGAGTTTTGGTTGATTGGCTGTGATATACTACCTCTGATCTCGAATCAAAGAACAAAGTGATTTCGACACTTCACATAAAGATACTTTCATTGGTTACATAGCGATAACTGGGTAAACGAGCACCCTATTATTTCGTGCCTAGGTAAGAAGCCATCAGGAGAATGCAAAGTTCATGTGGCCCGGGGTAACTTCACATGGAATTCACCACATGCGAAGGCCGATCAAGGCGCATACACCTTCCATACAGACATATCAGTTTCTAGAAGGGGTGGATTTCCCTCTTTATCTTTGCTTTCCTTTTTCTTTTCCTATTTATTTATGTATTTATTTATTTTTTTTTTTTTACCTTCATGCTTTTGTGGTTTATTTGTAGAGATGAACTCCTTATGGGGCAATCAAAATAAAATAAATCAATCAAGATCAAGTGGGTAACAAAATATTAAAAAACCCATTCTCTTCTGGAGGGGACACGAAGAGGTAGTAGTAACTCGGTTAAACCACAAAGCATGTGAGAGAAGGCAAGGCATCACGGGATGGATGATCTTTATGCAACTTAATTTGGATGTATGCATGGATTGTCACGGGCCCATATTCCGTCGTACTGCAACAGTACTACATTGAGAATCTTACAATACATACATACATAGTATGTCAATTGGGAGTAATTTATGACGTCAACCCGCTCTCGGGGAGTCCTATTTATCGTCATGGGGGTCCCGGAAGATACTCCATATAAGGAACAGTAGCAGAATACGTAGAAAGAAAGAAAAGTGACGAATAGATCTATAGTCCCGATTCGACCGAAAAGCCCGCGAAAGAATAGGATGGGCTCCAGTTGAGAAACACAGACTTTCCTGCTCCGGTCACAATGGCCTCGGCACTTTCGACAAACAGTGAAATACAGAATAAGGATAACTAATCGCTCTGGATTCCCCAAAGAAAACATGGAAACCCACACCGCCCACCTTAACGAACTAAATTGGGGATATCCATGTAATCCATAGGTCCCTCCCCGGACTCAATGAACCGGGTAAGTGCCGAGGTTCGTTTCACATCGCGTGGAGGCAAAGAGACATCGTGGGTATGGCTCGGCCATTCAGCGCTCTACGTTTTCCCCATGGCTTGGGGACCCCCCCCCCAAACTTCCCGCCAGGTCCATACTTCTTCTCCTTAACCACTTCTTTTCCTCTCTTTTTTAATCTTTTATCTCTTTTCTTCAAGACGCCTCCCAACCGGGTAGTACCTTCTTTCAACTGTTATCTTCGGGCTTACTCACTGACGCTCACCTTGGTTCGAAAGGGCAGCGTCTTGCAAATTCCACTTCCGGAAACCACCAGAAACTCCCCTCTCACAGCCTTGATCGGTTTCTCTTCCTGGGCCTGAGTATTGGTATGATTAGATCTCGCCCTTGACATTGAGATAACATACATGGCTTCAGTTTCATGTAGAAGATTATATACATAGCTAATTTTCCCCAGGTTATTTGTCAACATAGGTCGCAACTGTCGCAATGTTCTTTAGCCAACAGCCCGTCCACCTCGCTCGTGCGGACGAGTTGAGGCAAGAGCCTCCAAAGGGCTCGCCGTATTCGGTGGCCCTTCCTGGAACTGAGAAGCCCGGACGGAGTAAGGTCTACCGTGCCTATCTTGCACAAAAGGAACTCGTGAGGACATTGGATCCACAGGTAAGTGTACATTTTAGAGCTTGGCGCGGCTTAGTATTGACATCTCTCTTGTTAGGTTCTCACTGCGCATGACCTATTCGAGTCGACCGCAACCCGAGTTCCGAAGAATCATTGCCTGGGATGGCGCCCGTACAACCCGACAACCAAGACCTTCGGCCCATACCAGTGGCTAGATTACCAGGCGGTTCAAAAGCGGCGGGCTGATTTCGGTGCCGGGTTGGTGGAACTACACCACAAACACAATTGCCATCGTCCTGGCCAGTACGGTATCGGATTGTGGTGTCAGAATCGCCCAGAATGGCAAATTACAGGTATCTGATTGCTTTCTACTCCCTGCCCTTAGATGGCGCTAATTCGGTGTTACAGATCTGGCATGCATGTCTCAGGGTTTGTATTCCGTATCAATCTATGATGTTCTTGCCTCAGACGCAACCGAGTATATTATAAACCACGCAGAGCTGCACTGTGTCGTTACCTCATTGCCGCACATCCCAACTTTACTCAAGCTGAAGCCTCTCCTACCCAATCTGAAAATTATCATCAGCTTGGATCCTCTTGATGGAGGTGAACAAGCTGGCCACTCAAAGCGATCCCTTTTGGAGTCAGTGGCAGCCGGACAAGACGTCTCGATTTATACGATAGATCAGGTTGAGGAACTGGGTGCCACTTCGAATCGCCCGTACAACGCCCCTAAGCCTTCCGACATCGTCACCATTAACTATACCTCCGGTACCACGGGCCCTCCGAAGGGTGTTGTGCTGACGCATGAGAACGCCGTTGCAGCCACTGCGGGGGCCCTTGTTACTACCCAGCAGGCCGCTGGTGACACACTAGCGTCCTATCTTCCGCTAGCTCACATCTATGCACGTCTATCAGAGCATGCAGCTTTCTGGGCGGGTGCCCGGATCGGCTACTTCCATGGGAATATCGTGGAGCTGGTCGATGACCTTAAGTTGCTGAAGCCCACCGGGTTTATGTCGGTTCCCCGTCTTTACAGTCGGTTTGGGAACGCCATTCGTGCCTCAACTGTGGACCAGCCAGGTTTCAAGGGCGTGTTATCGAGACATGTCGTTTCGACTAAGACAGCGAACCTAAAGAATCCTGATCCCTCTAAGGCCACTGTTAAACATGCCTTATATGACCGGATATGGTCCAAGAAGGTCGCCGCTGCCCTAGGCCTAGAACGTACGAGAATGATGGTCTCAGGCTCTGCGCCCCTCGATCCTTCTCTCCACAACTTTCTCAGAGTTGCTACCGGTGCTGATCTCGTCCAGGGTTACGGTTTGACTGAGACGTACGCCATGGCGTGCGCCCAGTCTTCCAAAGATCTGACCGCTGGCAACTGTGGACGCCTGGCACCCTGCACAGAAGCGTGCTTGGCGTCTCTTCCTGACATGGATTACTCTGTTGAGGATAAACCCTATCCCCGTGGTGAATTGCTTCTCCGAGGCACAAACGTTTTTAAGGAGTACTTCAAGAATCCCGAAGAGACTAGCAAGGCCATCACTGAAGATGGATGGTTCCGGACAGGCGATGTCTGTACGATAGATGAAATGGGCCGGATCGTTATCATTGACCGCCGGAAAAACGTCCTGAAGCTAGCCCAAGGAGAGTACATCTCACCAGAACGGTTGGAGGGCGTTTATCTTTCCGAGCTGGGGTACTTTGCGCAGGGCTATATCCATGGTGACAGCGTTCAGACATTCTTGGTTGGAATTTTCGGGGTCCAGCCTGATGCATTCGCTGCATTCGCCAGCAAAGTGCTCGGTCGTTCCATCAGTGAGACCGATGTCGAAGGCATCAGGTCTGTATTGAATGACGATAAGATTCGAAAGGCAGTGCTGAAGGACCTCGAGAGGGTTGCGAAGAAGCACAAGCTGGCAGGCTACGAGAGGGTCAAGAACTGCTCTTTGATGCTTGATCCGTTCACGGTTGAGAACAACCTGTTAACACCAACGTGAGTGCTTTTAACCATCATCAAATCGTTCTGTACTAATTCTTCCGGGTGTAGACTAAAGCTAAAGCGTCCCCCGGTGGTGAAGCAGTATCGCCAGCTTCTGGATGAGCTCTACGCCCAAGCTACGGCGGAAGAGTCGGCTCCCAAAGCCAAGCTATAAACGTGTACTTTCATCGTATTTTCTTTCTCTAGATATTATATCAGCAGCATATATGTATTGGAGCAGTTGGCACGGGCAACTGACTCTGGGCGCTGTACATACAACCCGATTGAACTGTTCTTCCTGTGAAATATACAGCTTGTGACATAGTGATAAGGATGTTGGCATTCCGCTAGACTTGGGACGTTGGTCATTACCTAGAAATGTAGTTTGTTTTCCTGTGGGTAGAAGAGTAAGAGGCCATGTGATCTCGGGCCATGGCGGACTTGTTTAGTCGGGAGCTTGGCAACAACTCGTCCTTGCCATTAAATCTTCCCAGATGCGTACGGACGAATTGCACCAAGGGGTCAAATTTTCAAACCAACAATTGCAGCCCTTTTCTTAAAAACCATGCGCCTGTTCCGCTTCTCTACCTCCTCTCTTCTTGCCCTCCTCTCCTCCGTCGTGGTGACATCCGCCTTGACGGTCGTTATTCCCCCTTCAAATCTTCTTCCCAACCCCAATGCTCTCCCATCCGGCACGCACGCAACTCTTACGTCCATACCACCGTCAACGCAATCTAAGACTGGCCATGTCTCTCCTCATTCATTGACCGCCCCGCTGACGCGCTCCGCGACCTTCATCCTCCAGGACCTGGACTCCACGGGAAAGCCCGAGTCTTACCTGCTTGATATCCGATCCGCAGAATACGTTTTCACACCCTACCGGGTCGATGTCGCTGCAGACGGTACGGTGCTGGGCGTTTGGGAGACGTTTCGTGGGAACCCATGGGAGAACCGTGGCGCGGAGAGATACGTCCTCGATGCTACTTCTGTCGATGCGGCCAAGTTGTCTGAAGTGGTAGTGGAAGCTAAAGTGCTAGCTAGAAGAGGCTTCTACGAGGAACGATCTAAATGTGAGCATCCCTGGGAAGGAGGAGTCTTCAGTGTGAAGTACGCTTGTTGTTTTCAAGACGCTCATGGATTTATCGATTTAGTCTCGCCTCTTGCTTTGTTTAAGAACCCTATGATCTTGCTCGCCCTAGTAGCTTTGGGGTTTACATTCGGAATGCCGAAGTTGATGGAGAATAGTAAGTTCAATATCATAACCATTTCTCTGCGCGACGCAATCATGGATGTGTTTATAGCGCATACTTGCCCTTACTTATATCTCTCCAGTGGATCCCGAGATGCGTGCCGAATTCGAAAAACACTCTCGGGCTTCTCCTATCTCCGGTGCAACTCGGAGTGCTATCACCGGTGGCGGTGCACCAGGCAACTTCGATTTCGCAGGGTGGATGGCTGGCGCCCATCCAAAACCAGCAGGTTCAGAGCCCGCTGGCCTCCAGGGAGTAGCGACTGGCAGGGAAGGTGGAAATGCACGAAGACGAGGATAAGCGAAAGCTCTCGTTCGAGCAATAAAGACATCCGGGTCAATCTATGGCATTAATCATGTCCTACTAGGTGTCATTCAAAGCCTAAGAATCAAGATAAACCTAGAAGCAATTGTGAATCCCTCCCATAAAAAGGCATAATAATGAGCAACGCACGCAACCATCATCGCGACCATAATAGTACATCCCTCTGCATGGCCGTCCATCAGGCAAAGAAAAAGATGGGGGGGAAGAGAGAATACAAGACCATGCAGAAACCATGGTAACATCAGAAATCGCCGAAGTCGCCACCGTCAAAGTCATCATAACCGCCAGAGCCGTAATCATTATAGTCATGGTCATCCAAAGCTTCTGCCAACAAAGCACCCCCGAGCAAACCACCACCTACACCTAAAGCTGCAGCTCCTGCGGTTCCCATACCGCCACCATGGCGCCGCGCTGGTTGTGTCGCTGCGGGATAATAACCTGGTTGGGCCGGATAGGAAGGATAACCATACCCTGCGGGTTGTTGAGGATAGACACCATATCCGCCTGGGGGATACCCGTATGACTGTGGCTGCTGCGAAGATGGCCTTCCATAATTTCCACCACTGCCACTGGATGCTTTTCCCATCAACTTGCTCAGAAAACCCCTGCTCCTCTTCTGCTCTGGATCGGTTATTTGTTGCGAGGGGGTTGAAGGCGACTGGTATCCAACTGACTGCGGCCGCGAGGCTTCTGTATAGTAATCTGCAGCGGCTCCAGGCTGTGCTTGCTGTCTCGGGCTTCTACTGATACGAGCATGGGCATCTTCCTCCGCCTGTAACTGGGCAGCTAGCCGGGCATCGCTGTCCAGAGAACTGTTTCTGGCGTCGGCCTGGTTGTAAGGATTATTCGAGCCCAGGCTTTTCTTCTCGTTTGCGCCATGTACTGCGGGCGGATTTGCAGGCCCGGACTCTTCATATGAGGGAGGTGCTTCGCTAGGAGGGGCATGCAGTTCCTCTTGTGCCGGTCCTTGAGGGGACTCCCATTGGGACTTGCCAGTACGCAGATTTACAAAGAACCTTTTCACGGGGTTAATGTCAATAGAGAATTGAGCTGCAGAGCCAAGCGATGAAAATACTTACCATTGCTTATACCGATCATCGAACTGAGCCTTCCACCCCTCCGGGACAGCCGGAGGGGGGGGTCCTGGAGGCGGGGCAAACGACATTAATATCTGACAGTTTAGCGGGTTTGTAGGGGAGATTCGCTTGCGTTTGTCTCGGTTTTAGGAGAGGTGGACTGCTTAATATCTAGTGAGCAGGCTCTCGACTTAAGGACGAGGTGGTCGTGTAGATGCCTTGTACTTTTCATTCGCTTATTATATAGATAACCTATACTGTACGTAGTGCCCCAGTGGCGGGGCTCAGCCACGTGATAATATAGGTTGCCGCATTTATAGACGAATTACTTTCGAGTTAATCCGGCAAACGCCTTGTGTATTGATTGTTACTGTTCGTGGTGTTGCCACTCACGCCTAATTCCTAGTATTTGTAGTGGGGCTGCTTTGTTTATACTGCGGAGTATATATTTAGAATATGGAGGTCAATAGATTGCCTATACATAGTAGAGATGGTGCATAGATATCATTATCGGTACATAGCTGCATTTGACGTATGGATTAGATCATTATAACCAATGACGAAAATATCGAATCAGCAATGTCTATGCAAGGTCATCATCATAGATATCTACTGTTAATTATATGACTACCCTAAGAAAATCAAAGTACTTTGAAAGCACTGAATCGAAACCATTCACTCACTAATCTAGACAATAAACCCCATGGTTTTTGCAAGGCACCTAAATAGTAGGTAACGGTTGAAGCCCTTGGGACCTGGTGCGCTACTCGATATTTTCTGGGGTTCGCGAGACATGCTCGTTTGCTAACAATCCTTGTTGTCATCTAACCGTTAGATGGGATATCTCACAGCCTTGACTGAGCCTGAATTTTCTTTGCACTTTCTTTGTTTCACTGGGCGAGGGCATTCAGAGTATCTAGACCTGAATATTCCTACCTTGCCGTTTCATCATCTCATATCAGCATAGCCGCTGGTTTTCACCGCTAGATGGGCAAATATAGAAAAATTGTGGAACTACTCAATCCTCGTTTGAGCGATTTATCACATTAGTTGCATATTCTACATACAAGCTATCGGTATCTACACATCCCAGCTGTACTGTACTGCGAATAGTGGCATCAATATCATCTATGGAATGCAAGGCCAGTAGCAAACTCTTCCAGGTTACTGTCGGCCAACTGGCACAGTACATCACCCGGCTGCTACAAAACTACACATCAGCATCGTGGAAATTGGGGTCTATTTGATCACTAGACGGCCACCAGTGATCATCCTCCAACCCCTCTAGTAGATGCTCAATTCCAGAGTAGCCCTCTGTATCTTGAATAGTGGGAAAGACCAAGTCTTCGTTTGACGGCTTCGCACACTCCGTATCACTGTCACCCGTAAGATCTATGATTTCGATGTTTGCATTTTCAATGATGGAATGCTTTGATTCTGTAGCTAGTCGCTTGAGCTTGACCGGCGCTGTCCAGAAACCATCACCACTGCATAAGTCGCTAAGAACGCCCCTACGTTTCGTATAATGGCCAGGTTCCAACCTTTTCCTTTTATTCAAGTGCTGCACGTTGCGAATCTGAGCGAGCTGTCTCTGGCATTCGATTTCTCTCCGCAGTTGATCATTTAAGCCAGGTCGAAGAGCAGGGGGAGCACCGTCGAGCTGCCTTAACTGCCATTCCTCCTTCAACTTTGTCTGCCCGAGTTGATGGTCAGGAGTGTTATCTGGACGGGCCCATGCCGCGTAAGGCCCATTGTAACGAGGGCCTTGGCCCACACCATAAATAGGATGGCGTGAAAGATGACCATCTAAGATGGCCTTACGGGCAGCCATGATGCCCGACTCAGAATCGGAATCAGGTCCAGCAAATGGCACTTGAGAAGCGCGCTTGAATTTGAAAGACAAGCTCTTATCGGCAAGGATGTTAGCGGATAACAAATGAAGACCCCCGGCAGCATCGCCGATCAACAGATTGGATCTATCCGGCGAGAAAGCCCCGGACATGATCTCCTCTCCAAAAGATGCAACATTTTGAACAAAAGCATCATCAGGAGATCTCAGTACGTCCCAGGTTTTCAAGATACCATCTGATGCTCCGGTATAAAATTGGGTTACCGAGTTTCCCCACAATGCCAATCTTACCCCAACATCTGCTTGCTCTCTAGGAAGGGTTTCATCTATTTGATTGAGCGGCTCGCCATGTTGAAGCCTGTGCAGTACAGTGTCCGGGTTTCGCGTGTCCCACACATAGGTGATCCCATCAGTACAGCTGGCAGTCACATAATTCGGATTGCCTGGGCAGAAAGTCACATCGTTTATGTCCAAGGCAGGGCACTCAAGTTCCATGGTGCACATTTTGGAGATGAGTGGTGAATATAGGCGGACCACAGACCTGGTATTCTTGGAACTCAACAAAGTCATACCACCCCCTCTTGCGGAGCTTGCCGTAGCAAACAATGGAAGGGATGGATGCCATTTTACATCAAAGATGTTTTGTGAATTTGGGCTTAATTGTATTGGAGTGGGTGATGCTTCGGCTATATGCCACGCCGCAAGAAGACCATTATGGGTTATACCATCACCTTTTTCAGACATCCCAGCGATTAGTATCTCTTTTGTTATTGGGGTGGTGCCCCAAGCCAGAGAAGTTGGTATAAGGTCAATTTCTCTTTTAGAGCGCTGCCGAGGCAAATCCAAGACATTGTACGTTGACTCATCTAGTTGCCAGAAACCGACGGACTGAGTCCCTGTCGCTAGCACATTGTTTGCAAAGTTAGACCGAGCCATAACTTGGACTTTGGAGTCATGGTTAAGTGTCTTGTAGCAAGATGCCCTGTGGTTAGGAAATCTCCAAAGTTTGACAGTCTTGTCATAACTAGCAGTATAGAGTGTATCATCGAACCATTGGCAAGCTGTTACACTCATAAACAGACGATCATCATGTATAGTTCCCCTTGAAAACCCCGGCGGACGAGGGCTCCAATGCCCTGTCAATTCCTCCAGACTATCAGTGGTCAAATCTCCGAGAATCAGATTATTCCCTCGGTTGTATTCCATATTATGTTCATCACATTGAGCTGTAGCACCTGCCGCAAACTTGGTTCCATCAGGAGACCACGCCAGTACTATAACATCATTCGAGGCTCCTTTCCAAGTCTTTGAAAGCTCGAGGTTGCTCAAAACACGAGAACTGATCTGCCGGCTCACAGAGCAACCTAGCTCACGATCCTGTAAGAGCTTGTTTAGATTGCCAGATGCTTGACCATTTTTGCGTGTTACTAGGCTGCTACCATCCAGTTTAACAGCCTTGATGACAGATGGGACAGATGGTAGATTGCCTTTCTTGGCGTCGGCAATTAATGCTTCTATATCTGCGCACTGGCGCCGACCTAATGCAGATGCAGATAATAAACAGCCTGACAGCCTACGCATTTCCTCGACTGTATGGCCGTGTTGATCACCCGAGGTGGAAGGACCTTCATTCCTTTGTTTCTCTTGTGACCCCAGGAGTCGCATTGCGAGCCGCCTAGCACGTCGTAGCTCGCTTGTGCAAGGATTTGATACCAATATTTCTAAGAGTAAAGTATTGGTATCGCTCACTTCTTCGATCGAGAGTAACTTAGACAATTTTAAAATGGACGAAATCTTCTTGAAGGATTTAGGGTGAATATTGAAGCTGGATGCGACATGTATGAGTTGATCGGTAAGAGCAATGTCTGGAGCAGAACGCCATTGGCATCCACTAAATGACAGCAAGTTTAGCACTGCGGTAATCTCCTTCGGATCAAAATCGAAATGAAGGATGCTGTCTGGTGCCAAGTCCTCGCCCCTTAGTCCCTTAGCATAATCAGCTGGGTTATGTTCTGGGCGATAACGTGCATGCCCGACATTCTTAAAGTCATCCAGAGTTTTGAAGGGCGACTTGAGTATTCGCACTGTAGGTGAGGAGTATATAACAGAGTATTGCATGTGACCGATATGCTGGCTATCTTGGTAGCAAGGAGGAGCTGAGAGATCACATGAACGGGAACGGTCGTGACGCTGTTGTGGCTGGGCTGAATTGGCCATTATATCAACATCCTCATTACCGGAACGCTCCTCTTCAGATCCAAAGGTAAACAGATTGAGTTTCTTGTAGTAATTTATAGGGCCGGTTCTTGACCGTGCGGAGCGTCTCGTTCCTGGTGCCTTATCATCGTTTCTGGCAGGGGATTTCCTGTCGCTTAACAAGTATGGTGAGCGCGTTGCCTGCCGGGCATGATTAGAGTTATCTGATTGTTTCCTTTTCGTTGTTGGTAACACAGAGTCTGTTTCGCTATCGTTGCCTGGGCTCTTAGATAGGTTTCCTAAACTAGGGGTTGTCCGTGAGCTTCTTAAGCAAGGGTGGCGAGCCGAGTACCGTCGTCGTGCTGACGGGACTGTGTGTTTATCTGGCACAGACTCAAGTGCAGAGTCATCTGAAATAACATATACTACTTGAGGATCATCGTCGAGTGAGCGAGAGCTATGTTCGGTTCTTGAGCTGGAAATCTTCTGGGAAGTGGCTCTGTTTCCACTCTGGGACCCTTGGGTTTCGAGAGAGGAATGCCTCATAAACTGTGAAAGTAAATTCTGAGCTTCCTCTATTATAGATGGGTCGTCAGATCCGATCTGAACAGAACCTGGGCGAAGACTGGCCTGGGCCCTGAAGTCTCGACGGCTCATATGTTCGGGTGGAGACATTTTCAGTGTCATCTGGGGTGCGTTCTCGACTCGAGGACACTAGGTCTCCAACAATGAGTATTTGAGATATGTAGGAACCGCCTATACCTCAACATTAGCACATCTGGACGCGGTATTATCGATAAAGCGCTTACGCATACTTCAACAGGAGGAGGATGTAGAAGCGTCGTATGGATTGGATTACTCCGGATATCGCCTAAAGCTTTATCAATGAGAGCCACGGTGAGAAACGACTCAATAATACTAACGCCCAGAGAAGGAGGTCTCGAAAATCTCATAAGCAGCAGCCTCCAGAGTAGTCCGCCAGATATGGAAGGTAATGTTAGATGAACATTTGATCTTGCGCATCTAAAATAATGACATACAAGTGTCCATGGCATTACATAAGGTGGCCATGCAATTCAAACCTTCAGTGAGCTGAACAAAACCAAGGAAAAGTTAAGGAAATAGTGAGAAGAAGAGAAGATGGAGGATGAAGATGCGGCAATTGCGCTTGATCAATGGTTACTAATGAATTAGGATATTGAAATCTTGGAAGTCGATGCTGTAGCGTAAATTAAGAAGCAACAGAGCCGCTTGTCCCAACGAAAACAAGAGCTGGAAGAGTTCCTTCAAGACCGAGTGAATTTTGAGGATATCAATCAGTCAATCCCAATGCTTGGCAACAACGCGTGAACGCGCAGGTTCACGAAGTGCTCTTTACCCCCAAACAGAAGGCGGTGACTGTCTTAACCTGAATTAGTCACATTTCCTATAAATTCTAAGTACCCGTGACCCGATGTACGACCAGTAGTATGGAGTACAGAGTTATTTAGACCTCATGTTAAACCTAGATAGGAAGGAGAAATACTGTGCTAAGTGTACTTGTGATATTGTAAATTAGTCTTTGAAGCGACTGATATATCCTATTTAAAAAGGATCTTCTAGTATGATAGAATTGCAACCTGCCTGAGTACCTGCCTGCCTGAATATCTACTCTACTTATCTATCTATTTATCTGCCGAAGCGCTTGTTCGGTCTACTTAAGAGTCTAATATTTCTTAATTTCTACAATTTCTAGGTCTTTTACAGGCTTATACTGTCAGCAATACTAGTAGATAAAACTATTTAATTGGTAATTTTATATCTAGATCGCATGGAATGGTTAATTTAACAAGAATGGTCTATACAAAGCAGCCTTTGCGTGGTTAGAACTCAAAGGGTTGTAACAACATGGGAAACAGCGATTGTCTATAGCATGAAATGTCTAAACTGTGTTCTCTTGTATAGAATAGATATACATAGCGGAGGTTTCCTAGAGTGTTTTTCTAATTATCTAACTCGCTTACCTTTTCTATCTAGATCTAACATGAGGTCCAAATAACAATTCCCTTCGATAAGCCAGTACTAGTGGTCTGCAGCCTATCCAAGTACCCTATAAGGGCATACCATGCCCTAAAGTGAAAACGGAAACACTTAAGAGCCTGGAAACATTCTTCGCCGGTTCCAAAAACACACTTTCCCCTAGGTTAGCCTGCTGCCTGCCCGCTGCTAGCTAACATATCCTCTACTTGGACACCCGGTTCCTCTTTCGGATAGCTACCATTGTGTCATACAAAACATCTTTGAATGCGAACAAGAATGCTGCAGTAATTGCACTCTGTGTCACCTTCGGGCCAATGCCTGTAAGAATATTAGTTTGAGCACTATAGAATATTGCTAAATAAGGTCGCAACTTGCCTTTATACAGCCCCACATATCCCTCCTCCTTAATGATTCTCTTCAAGCTGCCGTTCAAAGTTTCCTTCGGGCCGTCCTTGCTAGCAACGTGCATCCGACTCTTGACCGTTATATAGGGATATGTGATGGACGTGGCCAAGATCTTGCCTAGAGCACCAAGGTAGAACGCATCTTTCGGCGTCATGCGCCTACGGCGTTCCACTACGTTCTTTAACTGCTCAAAGATAGTGTATTGTAAGATGGGGTTAATCACCAAGATGAGAGCCGGCAGGACGCCGGCAAAAAGGGCCTTAGGACCCTCCTGGTGGAGCAGGTCCAGGAGAGTGCTGATCGTCGAGGCCTTCGTCTTTTTGGCAGTACCCGGCAATGCCGGTTCGTCTGACTCGGATTTTCGCGCTGTCATCCGGGTGTTCACGACCCAGATGGGGTTAGTGATCAGCACCGTTGCACTTCCGGCGATGGCCCCAGCAATCATGGATTCGGCGGTCGTAAGCTTCGTTGAGGCTCGAGCAGCCTTTGCAGCAGCCTTCTCGAAGGCCGAGCGGGTCCATTCATACCAGTAATAATAGACAAAGTTGGTTACACTGATTCCAAAAAGCGCTGACTCAAGACCTGAGTACAGTCCACTAACCCCTTCCCGTTGAACGATACGGCGGATGGCATCGGCGGTCGTTGACTGAGCACGTTTAGATTCAACTTGCGCTCTTGTTGAAAGTGTGATCAAGGGGTAGCTATAGATCAATGGGTGTTAGCCGCTATTTGACTCTATAACAAAAGCAGAATTGGAGTACGTACGTCAAGATCATGGAGAGGATTCCACCACCGGCGCCAGCTAATGCATGCGCTATATTATCACTTTGCTGGGCTGCAGTCACTGCAACAGCCTTCTTGTGTTCTTCGATCTTTGCTTGAGACATGGTACAGAAGAAATTTGCGCGTGCTAGCAGGGCAGTGCGTTAAGGTTGAGGTATCTAAAAAGTTGCAAGGTGGTATTTGGGAGTATAACGTTGATCCAATTTGGTAGGGGATATGGTTAAATACCAACAACCCTACTGTGAAATATAGAAGGAGCGAATGTGACTGCCAGATCGTTTTACTGGCAGAATTAGGATACTGAAGAAGCGATATATTAACGAGAATGAGATAAGGACTGAATATGTAGGCAGAATTAGGGGAGATTAAGCCGTTGGGTCGCGAGAATGAATCGGCTTCTCGAATGGAGATAATGCTTTGCATGACGTTTGCCGAACCCTGTGCCTCGGCTTATTTAGTCATAGACGCCCTTCCATTTCCCCTCCCATCGGCCGGAAGTAGTACAAGTATATATTAGATCATCGAACATCAGATGTTTCCTACAACTGCTGAAACGATTCACTTACCTACTCTAACTGAATATAAGAGATAGTACATCGGGGTGCTTAGACTTCCTGTGCATTTGCTGTGCATCCACATCTATAAGGCTTTCAAGCACTCCCGCCCCCTACCCACCTCTCTTAAACACTTGCACTATGAATTTATATGAGAGTTAAGTAAGACCGAGGTCCGGTCTTCCAATTAATTCTACAAATAAATCTGGTTAATTCGTTTCTGTACATACAGACTACATTTAGCCGCCAATGTTCGCCGAGTGTGGGATCTTCCTTTACATGCATGTGACATGCTCTTCCCAATGAACTATCATATGATCATTTACCCCCGTGGTCTTCGCGCCAGCTGACAGGAACATCAATAATAATCATCATCATTTTCATTCACGGAGTGACCTGAACCATGGGAGGGTCGAAGGAAAAGAGCCCCCAACCCCCCCAAAAAGAATCTATAACTATTTCTGTTTAATTAGAATACTGGCAACGTATCGATCGAGATATCTGAGGTCGATAGAGAAGGCCAAAACGACTCCCAAGGTCTTGTATATAGATGATGCTTCTTAATCATCGTATCAGCTGGCTATGTTATATCAGATGGGGCTCACTAGACGAAGACTAAAATTAAATTACTTCCAGAGAATTGCTGGGGTTTATGCTAGCTCCTATATGCTATCACCCAATAAGCATGTTCTCCGAACATTCAGGGTCTTTTCCATTAATTTGTTCCTGACAAAATCGCAAGGAATCCAACCTACTAATAAGATATGGAAGAAACTAATAGTGAAATGCTGTAAAAGAAATCACAAAACGAGCAGCGTGTAACAAAGAAGGGGGGATGGGTGGGGAAGGGGCAACAAGGGTACCAGTAATATGAGCACATATAAAGACAATCGCAGGCCGTCTAAAGCATTGTGAAGGATTTGAAATGATTCCCAATAATCATCTCGAGCTTGAAAATAGCAAAAATTTCCGCAATGCCATCTGCGCCATTTCACATTTCAGTTAGAGCTGTTCAGTGCCAAGGCGCAGTTGGCAAACACACCTCCCTGCTTCATACCGAGGTGGCTAACGTAGTACTGTGCAACACGACTCGGTGGCTCGATTAGCAGCAACCGCCTCCAGACCCAGACTGGACACCCTGGCCCTGGCCAACCTGCACAGTCGGCTTGTTGTTGACAGTGGCGGTACCCATACGCTCCTTAATCTGCCTTGCCATTGTCAAGAAGGCTTGCTCGACGTTCGAGGCATTCTTAGCAGAGGTCTCCAGGAATGGTATTCCAAGGCTATCGGCGAACTCCTTTTGATTTCAAACAACATAAAGAATTAGCCTCCGTTCCGACTGCCGAAAGGGAAAAATTGTCTGTTCCAAAAGGTATAGGGGAGGAGGTAAAGATAGGTGCACACCTTTGCCACCGTGTACTCCACGACCTTTTTATCCTCCATATCACTCTTGTTACCCACAAGCAGCTTGTTGACACCCTCGGTGGCATAGCGATCGATCTCCTGGAGCCACTGCTTCACATTGTTGAAGGAATCCATGTCAGTAACATCATACACGACGCAGATACCATGAGCACCTCGATAGTAAGACGAAGTAATGGTGCGGAACCGCTCCTGGCCCGCAGTGTCCCACTAAAGATCCTGTTAGCTACGTAAGAGCATTCATCTGTGGTGGCATTTCTCCCTACAATCTGAAGTTTCACTGTCTTGCCATCAAGTTCGATTGTTCGGATTTTCTGTTATCTAGAAGTCAGTACCACTACAAGGGGTGCGGTTGCCCGAACAACGGTATACGCACGAAATCAACACCAATAGTGGAGATATAGCTCTCTGTGTAGGTGTCGTCTGCAAACCGAAGTAGCAAGCAAGATTTTCCGACACCGGAATCTCCGATAAGAAGGAGCTTGAAAAGATAGTCGTATCTAAGTAGATGGTTAGGATAACAGGGAATGAGAAGTAGGCCGTCTGTTGGTTTGCACCAAAGAGGATGGTAGGTACTCTAGTTATTGCCCAACAAATCAGCGAAGTTGAGAAAATAAAGGGGGAGAGACGCAGGGAGAAGAGACCATTATAATGCAGACAGAGTGCAATACCCAAGGCCTCGAGAGGATGCATCAATATGTAGGCTAATAGAAGACTTACCACTCAGGGTTCATGATGGACGGTGTAGGGATGAAAGGCTCTTCAAGGAAGGGAGACGAAAGAGAAGAGGAAAGAAACAGAAGTCGTCTATCAGGCGAAAGATCAAGTAGCGGTAGCGGCAGAGAGAGAGAGAAAAGCGTTGCCTGGGTGTGTTAAGTTCGATGAAGTCGGCCGTCGTCTTTTGAAATGGCGGTTGCGAGTTGCTGAGTAGTGCAGGAGAGCAGACGAGCCCAGCGTGCAGGTCCCCTTGGTTTGTGACCGTTTCACGTTTCGCCGCGCCCCAGACACAAGACCCGTTTCGGTCTAGTTGCTCCAATCAAATGATAAACTTTCTCTTAAATAATCTGTCTGGATTCTTGCTGTTCCTCTTAATACTATGATATTTTGGCATGCTGGCTCTTCCACTTTACCTTACTGGCTTCTTCTTCGAGACTCGTTCTTCTGCTTTCACAACGCCAGCTATTGTGCATGGTATCGCTATTGAAAACAAGCAAGGACGGTTTCACTGCCACTAATTTTTCACTTTTGTTCATTATTGTTCCCTCTTGCAAGTTCATACAGATATAGTAACTACATGGGGGAACTTCCTACCCAATCCTGGGCATCTTCTGATACTGCCAGTTGCCCCCGGGCCTATTTAATGATTCCGCATTCCATTTCTGTACTAGCGCACTGAGGCAACGTGTTCTTCCTTTAATTTTCTAGATCTAGGTCTTCCGCCCAAGTCTTATGAACGGCTAGTCCATGAGTTGGTGAAGAAAAACAAAAAGAAAACCAAAGACATGTAGTTTCAAGTAAACTAGTTAAGATCAGAAGAATAGGCCCAGTATAATATAATGATGATATCCTGGTCCATCTTCACACGGTAAGTTGGCAGCAGACCGCTTTATTCCTCGACAATCAGGCATAGCCATGAGCCTGGAGCCAATCCAGAACTGATTTCTCATCTCTGTACTTATAGCGTGCATTGGTCCGAATGCTATCCGCAACAATAACTAGCGCACGATCATAGGCACTTGTATCCTTGTGCTGGAAGAACGAAGTAATGTCCTCCCCAATGTTTTGGTCTGCAAACTTAGAAAGGCCCATTCGCACAAAGCGCTCAAAGACGACGTTATTTGCCGACAGGCGAGCCTCAACGGCACCCCAGTTGTCCTTCATATACTCCCAGAGTAGACGCCGGACCTTTGAGTTCGCAGCCAATGAGACTGCGCCATTGTGTACGTCTTGGATTGCCACTTTGTCCGAGAATACAAAGTCTAGGTAATCCTGGACCAGTCCAGCATCTTTGGTGCGTCCAAGGGCTGCTAGGCAGATTTCTTTTCCATCAACAGAGTCCGTCTTGAGATACTCTTCTTTGACAGAGGCATATTCGTTGGAGCCGCCCTCCGAGACGTTGATGCCGAAGATGACTGAACGCAGATTTGTGTGAATTGCGTTCTTATCTTGGCCTGTAGCCCAAAGCCCGAAACGTCTTTTGGCTTCTGCAATAACCCTGTGTTACGGTGTTAGTAAAACTAAGGAAGAAGAATTGGAGAGATGGGGCAAGGCTTACGTCTCATCACCCGCAAGGCCGGCCATTCCGATAAGAAGTTTTCGTAACTGAACAGTAAGATATTCTTCGCCTGGCTTGAACTCCCAACCAAGTCGATGGGCAGCAGGTGATGCCAACTTAAGAGCAAATTCCTTCAGTCCGGCAGCTACAGGCTCATTCTGAGAAAATACTGAGCGAAGATTTGTAAGCGAGGAAGAAATTTGTGACCACACCCTAAAAAATTAATTAGAACCAGTGTATAGATCTGGGCAAACATACTGGGAAGGCACTGGGTACTGACAAATAATTCTGCTCCTCACTGAAGCCTTCAAGAAGGGCTAACAGAGCAGCAGTGGTGCCTTCACCAGACACAGCAAGAGCAGCGGCATCACCAATCAACCCGATCTTGTCTTCAGTGCTCAGTAGTTCTAGAGATTTACCAAGCTTTGCCAGCCGGTCAGTCGGGTAATTCGTCCGGTAGAACCCAGAAAGATCCTTGTTGATCTTGTAAAACGAATCCTGGCCGACGCCTAGGACAGTATCAGTCTTGGCAACAAGAGCGCGAGAATTCACCTCCTCCAAGTTTAAGCCTGATTTGATTCCAAGCGGAATCCACCAAGTTGTTTCATCTTCTTCGGGATTTGCATCACCAGTAGAGAGGAATCGGTTCTGGCGAATGCTAATCTGGCTAGGTTCTTCTGTCACTGTTATAACTGGGAAACCGATCTTACGAATCCATGGATCCTTTGCAATTTATTAGAGAAGAATAAAAAGATATAACATCATGGTCCTGGCTTGTTGCGAGGCTTACCATAAAGCTGTTAACGTCTTGACCGGATGCTTCACTGAGCGCAGACCAAAGATCATTGGTAGTGGCATTACCTAGAGGTCGTACCTAATTAGCAAGCACCCATCTGCTCCAATATTAAGTACTTACCGTAAGCATGGGTCTTGAGGTAGCTAGCTACTCCCCGGAGGAAAGTATTCCGACCAAGATGATCGCTCAGCATCCTAATCACGGAACTTCCCTTAAGGTAGCTAATGTGATCGAAAATCTGGTCGACCTCAAGAGCATTCTTTACAGGCACTTCTATTGGGTGGGATGCGCGTAATGAGTCGAGTTGGAATGCTTGTTGTACTCCTTCAGCCTGTGGAATGGTCAATTCCTACTAAGATACGTTATATTTACCTCGGGCATTGCGTACGACAAATTGAGACCATATGTTCCATTCTATCCGCATGCGTTAGAACGAGCCGCCGCTGGTGTCAAAGGAGAGAAACATACCGGGATAAAAGTGGTCGACAGCCAGCCATCCAACCCAGGTCGCGAAACCTTCGTTGAGCCACAGTTCGTTCCACCAATCCATAGTTACAAGATTGCCGAACCATTGATGGGCCAATTCTGATACCCCTCGTTAGACAAACTCAAGGATAGCAGGCGCTTCTGAAAATGGCTTACCGTGGGCAACAACATACGCAATGCGGTTCTTGTAGCGAGTATCTGACTTGCCCTCATCGAAGAGAACGGCAGTCGTTCGGTATGTTACAAGGCCCCAATTCTCCATAGCTCCCATGGCCTGGAAAAACAAAGTAAATTTCTATACATGCATCCAAAGAAGTGTGGTTGCTAAGACTCACGAATTCATGAACAGCAAGGAGGTCCGCTTTGGGTAGGGGGTACTCAATCTCGAATACCTCCGAGAAATAGTCAACAGTACGATGTGCACATTCTAAAGCGAATCGGGCTTGCTCCTTGAGACCCTTCGTCGTGTAGACGCGCACAGGTATGCTTTTCCCGTTGTATCTGCGATGGGTCATTGCCTCGACGAATTCAAAGTCACCAACAGCCCAAGCTAGAAGCTGTAATAGTATCCGAATGGTTAGTCACATGCGTTAGTATGATAGATAGATACAGACTCACGTAAGTACTCATCACGGGGGTTCTCTCGAAAGAAACTACTTTCAGACTAGGGCTGCTGCCTTCTCTCTCAGATTTGACAGGCATGTTGCTTAGAGCTGTTTGGCCTTTCGGTACTTCGATTTCAAAATCAAATGTAGCTTTCAGATTCGGTTCGTCAAAACATGGAAAAGCCCTGCGTGCATCACAGGATTCAAATTGAGTGCTCAGCATAAAATGGAAATCACCTTCCCTTGGGGTGTCAGGACTAGGTTTCGCAACAGGCTTGTACTTAGAACGATAAAAACCAGCCATGGAGCTGTTCATTATACCCGTGAAAGCCAGGGATAGGACAACATCCGATGGTGTGATTTCCTGGGGGAATTGGAAAGTCACTCTCTCTGACTTCTGGTCATAGATTATCTCAGACGCCTGGGTTACTTTCGTCCCTACAGTAGCCGTGTGCTATGTTAGTAATTTAGCCTGATATCAAGGAATTGCTTTTTCAATAGGTTGCACCGTGACGGACCATCTTTTTCAAAAATCTCAGCTTTCTGGACCTCGATCTCCTTGGAATTCAATACAAGTTCCTTCGTGGAGCGGGTGATTTTCGAGTCTATCTTGACGATGCCTTTGTAGCCCCAAGAGTCACCCAACTGCATGTCAAATAAGGAGACATCATAGTGAACCGGTTTCGCCCTATTACCCTTGTCAAATATCGTTCTTAGAAACCCATGCAGATAACGACATTCTCGGTTGAAGCACACAAGGATCAAAATGGACTTACACATCGGGAAGCACCTCTCTATCCTTTGCAGCCATTGCGTGGGTTTCAGAGGAACAGCACCTTACAAACGTTGAGGCGATAGCAAGCTTGATCGCACAAGTTTGCAAGCAGGAATGCAGACAAGGAAGAGAGTGGGAATGCGAGAAGGAACTGAGGAGGGGGAGGGGCGGAGTGGCATTGACCAGATGGGGCGACGGGGTGGATGACAGATGAAATTGTCTGAGTAGTGGCTTTTGTCGACGCAACCATACACCTTTTCCCCCACATCCAGTTTAACACCACCTACTAGAACTTCTGGAGGGGCAAATTAATCTCTGCTTACGGCTACTTTCGGCCAATAAGTACATATATATGCAGAATGAACTAGACCAGTTGCAAAGTCTACCAATTACGCGGAGTAGTATGAGTAATATTATTAATATAAACCTCAGAATTGAAGACTCAGAGCAGCTTTGTGGGGAGAATTTTAGAAAGGTAGAGAGAAAAAAAAAGAATCGATTAAGTCTTACATCAGTTCCCGACGATATCCAATAAGCTAAAAATTAACCACACCCGGAGCTCCGCCGGGAGCTTGGACCCTTTTCCGACTTAATAAGAATTTATTAGTTGACTAAATTAGTTCCAACTACAGACTGTTCCGAAACGACTCATACACAATAGCACCAATTTCCCGAATATTCAACCCTCCGCGTTCAACACATTAAACCCATGGCTGATTCCGATGAAGAGTATATCGGGGAAGTTTCTGAGGATGAGGATGATAATAATATTTTTCGAGGGTCTCGGGGTGAAGAGTCTGCATCCCGGGTGAAGAGGAGGAAACAGCGCGGAGGGGCTGAATGGGAGGTCTCGAGAACCTGGGAGACATTGGTCGAAGGCGCTGATGGTACGATTAGCTCGACAGTTGAAGGGCTCCTGGAGGCTGGGAAAAGGAAAAGGTAAGCTTGAGGAATGAAGGAAGGCGGCCAGAAACTGCAGGTCGAGCAAATTACATTAATGCACTTTCAACGCAGGCTTCTGAAAGATACAACGCCTTTACAACGTGGTATTATTCGTCATCTCATCCTGATAGTCGACTTATCACAATCCATGACAGAGAAGGACCTTCGCCCGACAAGATATCTCCTTACGCTACGGTACGCACAAGAGCTTGTGCGGGAGTTCTTCGAGCAGAATCCGATCTCTCAACTTGGTGTCCTTGGATTAAGGGACGGTCTCGCCGTCCGAATAAGTGATATGAGTGGGAACCCCACGGAACATATTAGTGCCATACAAACCCTAAGAGATCAAGATCCGAAGGGTCTTCCAAGTTTACAGAACGGCCTGGAAATGGCTCGTGGCGCGCTATTGTGAGTCTTGCCCACACAGGCATTATTTGTGTTGGACTTCATCTGGCGCAAACTAACATGTCTCTTTACAGTCATACACCCAGCCATGGTACTCGAGAGATATTCATCATATTTGGTTCTCTTCTTTCATCTGACCCTGGAGATATTCATCAAACAATAGCTACCCTCGTCAATGATAAAGTGCGCGTGGGAATCGTAGGTCTCGCTGCTCAAGTAGCCATCTGCCGTGAGCTCTGCGCAAAAACGAACGGCGGCGATGACACTAGATATGGGGTGGCACTCAACGAGCAACATTTCCGTGAGTTGTTAATGGACGTAACGACACCTCCAGCCACATATTCCCAAAAACAGTCTGCAAGCTCGCTCTTAATGATGGGGTTTCCATCTCGCACTGTTGAAGGCTCCCCCTCTCTTTGCGCGTGCCATTCAAGGCCTTCCTGTGGAGGTTATTTGTGCTCACGTTGTAGCAGCAAAGTTTGTGGTCTTCCTGCAGAGTGTCCTTCTTGCGGCCTCACTCTAATTCTGTCCACTCATCTCGCTCGGTCGTACCATCATTTGTTTCCCCTGATAAACTGGGTAGAGGTCCCCTGGCAACGAGCTTCTCGCAGTTCGGTATGCTTCGCCTGCGGCATAGCTTTTCCTCCAGTACCTATCAAGGATGAATGGCAAATGACGGAAAGCCAGGTGAAAGGGACGAGCGTAAGCAGCCGCTACGAATGTACCGCATGCGAGAATCATTTCTGTATCGATTGTGACCTCTTTGCCCATGAAGTTGTGCACAATTGCCCTGGCTGTCAAAGCAAAACTATAATCCCCAGGAAGGCTGACCTGGGAAGTCAAACGGGCCTGGGCCTGGAGATAATGGATACCTCAGCGTAGTGTAAGGCGAGTCGCATGTTCGAAGATTTCATTAAATACTCATGGATGATACACTGCATAGCCCGGCGTTTTGGGAGAGTTTTTTTTTTTTTCTTTTTTGGGTTGGGGGGCTTCTCTCCTTCGACGTGTTGATTCGTGAATATCTTGATGTACGTTAGGCCCACTACAGGTAATAATTCAATGGAACTTGGTCTTGATGAAGTTCTATCCTAAGAATATGACAGCATCGTATAGCAAAACTATAAATCCATGAGTTTTGCTTACTTGGGTGTTGGTGCTCAATCACTAACTGCAGTTATAATTGGTGTTGTGCATCATGTCATACCTCTAAGCCTCGGCTAATCCAAATTCTTATCGTCATTTTGTTAACGCCTATGTATCGCAGTTCCCTTCAACAATCAGCAATCATACACTGAAGGAGAAAGGAAACTGGAGAAAGAACAGAAAACTTTTTTTTGGCACTTTTCTTCCTCTTCGGAGTGAAATCCTACTTTGATCCCTCATGGATACTCCACCTGTCGTCAACAATAACCTCTCTGCTAAGCTGCCCGTGGAGACACCACACAGTGCAGCTGACCACGGTAACTCTATTTCAGCAACTCAGCAGGTCGAAATCGAAATATATGAAAAGCTTAGATCCTATCCGTTCCACACAGATAGCGAGTTTGCAAAGGGCCTTGCGATTATCCTCAGTCACCCGGATATCCCTGCAACTGAAACAGAGATCGGCCGCAACGACGACCTTGTCTTACAAGCCAAATGCTTCTATTTTTCGAGGTATGCAAAAAAAAAAAAAAAAAAAAAAAAAATAAATAAATAAATCCAGAAAAAAAAAAAAAAAAAAAAAAAAAAAAAAAATCCAAGGAAACATCAGTACATTTTAGTACACTATGTATTGCTAGCGCTTGCAAGTGCAAATGGTGAAGCTAACCCACTATCCATTGATCTGTCAATAGAAAAGAGAAGCTCGCCCAATCTGTGAACTTTGCAGCCTACAAGGCGTGGTTGCATGCTGAAAATTTGTCTGGAAATCAGAACACCGGAGCCACGCCTCAGCAGCTTAATGCTCCAGTAGCGGACACACATATTTCAATGGATCATTCCAAACAGACATCCATACCTGTTCAGGAACCTACATACCCTTCCTCCTTCGCCCATATCGTGGAGCTCATCACGACTGGCCAACCAGTCCCTGGTATTCAGCAGATACCAGACACTATATTAACAGGCCATGACACACCAAGCACTAAGCCTAGGAGGCGGAAGCCCTGGGAGAAGGACGAAGTTGGTGAAACTTCTTAGACCTAGAATGGGCGGGGCAGGATGGAAATCTGGGGCATGAGAACCGCTACCATTGATCCTAGGGCCCTTAATATTCTAGCGAGAAATAGGCCACTTCGGCGATCATTAGTCCCCACCATAGAAGTAGGTATCTTTTATGGAACTTATGTCACATGGCCTTGGGCACTGATTATAGACTCTTCTGGGTGTAAAAGAATAACATAACACTAGGAACTAATGAGTGACCAGACATAGCACATAAAAGGTGAGTCTCCACACATAGTGTTGCTTGCTTCCGTAAACCAAATCTCTCGCATAACAACCCACTCCTGTAGCTTTGTTTTTCTGATAAAATGTAGCTATTTCATGAAAGTACTTTTTTCTTTTGTCAAGCTGAAACAAAGAAAAGGGTCTTAGCTTTAGATACATGGAACATGGAGCGCAGAACGTTGAGAGGACCGCTCATTATCAGTCAGTTGTAGATACTCCTTGCCCAATATGACCAGAGCGTCGCGAAACCCTGGACGAGAGCGCCGTAGAATACTAAGTCAATACTATATTGTGTCAGCCGTATACCCGTGCATTAAGCACCACAGACCCAGCTGATGTTGCCCCCGAGGCTCAAGTAACGGGAGAATTGAACCCATTGTTTGCAAACGCTTTTGCTGCCGATCTTAACGGAATGGCGGGTAGTTAGGGTTCCATTGGCTTCCACGATTAAATCGGCCTCCATTCTGACCTGACGTTTGGTACCTATCGTCATTGAAGTTTGTGAACCGACCAATCTGCATACCAGCTCCTGGTCCAGGGCGTGTAATATGAGACGGGTTGCAGCAGAGCATAGCCACTCGAGAACCAAACTTAGACCCACGTAAAGAGACCATATGTTTCCTTTAAGGGAGAATTAGAGCTGTTGGAATAAACTAGACAACAAAACATACCTGATATGGCTTGCAACTAGCTCACGCTGATGAGGCGCGGCGTTCATAAGGATCCACTGGATGAGGTAGTTCCCATACTGATCCCCAGCAACTATCTATAGTTTAGGACTAATCCCTCCCCAAGCTTGAACTTGCGACTTACTGTCAATCAATGGCATTCTCGGTCGATCAGCACGGCCAGTACACACTCGAGTAAGATAGCGGTCTAGGAACTCAGAGCCACCGATTTTCAAACATTTTTCCACTATCTTAGAAGCAAATTGATCCATGCTATAGTCAACTGACCATAGGAGGATATGCTCAATGGCACGATTCTTGTCATGAGGTGCGCCGTGCTCGCAAATGTGTTGAATGCACCAGTTTCCAAACTGGCCGTGAGCAAGTAGGTCGATCTTGGTTAGCACTTCTTCTATAGCCGGACGCTAAGGGCTCGTCAGCATTCTCTGCCCGTGTATACTTAAAACCCCTTCCTTCCTTCTTCATGAGTTTTTATGCTGGTCGTGTGTTGGCTGTCTCCTTGGTGTATGGGGTCTGCCCGTTTAGAATAGCAGAGACGGACACTCTTACTTTTTCATCCTCCACACAGTTCTCAAATATGTTTTGTACCACCAAGCTTCCTGTCTCCCCTAAAGCGACTTCATGCCACATTCCGCACAATGCTTCGTTGACCTTGGCCATAATCTGCGGAGGTTCACCACTCCATCGTAACTCGAAAAGCTTCTGCCAGACGTGACAGGCATACCGGTGGATCACTGTTTCTGGAATTCTGCGTAAAAGTTCATGGACCATAACAGCTTTGTGTTCTTCAGGGACACAGTCGAATGCCTTTTGGATTACATGACAGCCAAACGGATCCATGCTAAGGCTCAATGTGTTGCCTTTTATTGCATTTGCAATGGCAACTATCTGTTCAGATGTGCCATGCTCAAAACAACGCTGGACAAGAAAGTTGCCAAAACGATTAATCATTAGGGGATATGCCTGATGCACTATGGCCTCTATAATTTCATACTTTTGCTCAGCTGTTCCAACTTTGAGTTTCTGCTGTAGGAAAATAGAAGCCTGTTGATCATTGTTGCAAACAATTTTATCAACAATATACCTCCAATCACAAGAGACATTTTTGTCGAGGAGCCTGCGGTAATTAAGTGGTTCGAGAGGCGAAATGTACGTCTGAGTGGAGCTCACACCGACCTACAAGCGTGAGCATGTGCTAGGAATACAAGATTAGGTACTCCTCACGGCTGAAGATGTCCATGGCGGTGCAGTCGCGCTGGAAGAGGTAAACTCAGAGGCTGTCGGAGATAGGGGAGTCCCGACTGGCTGTTGATGATAAGGCGGTAGAGGATACAATCCGATCTGTTGATATGTGCTGCTTTGGCGGTTCGCAGGTGATCTAGGCGCCTGGATACTCGGGGAGCTGGCAGCGAATGTTCCCCAAGGAGAATTCTGCGTTGGAAAACATGACCCACCGCGGTTGGCTTGTGTGATAGACCGGCGTGGCCCGGCGCCTGAGCCTGAAGCATACCTACTTTGCTCGCTGGCAAGGCGTGCATCGAAACTGCAAGCTCCAGTTAACGGACCAGAGAACACACGATGAGGCTGAGACGAAGTGTTTCCTGAGACACCAATGTGGGGAAGCGGGTGTCCCCAAGGCCTACTCAGATCTTGACTAAAGAAATCATTAGACATTGACATTGGCTCGCCGTAAGCTTTATCAGTAATTGGGTTAGTCATATTCATATTAAACCTCTGCTGAATTGGGGGAACCCAGAATCCTCGCGACCGGCTGTATGCACCCGTAGAAAGCGCATCAGAAATGTCTGATTGAGAGTCGTCTGGACCACTCCATCCATCCTGAAGCTGGCTGAAGGTTGGATTCGAAGCGTTGAAGGCGTTTTGCAAATCACTGATTGTTTGCTCCGTGACCTCCCGTCCATTGAAGTCAACTTCGGAAGGAGGGCCAAGGGCTTGGTCCAGTGTGTGTTTGATTACGCGAGTCTGTGCAAGCTCTTGTTCTTGAAGTGCAATCCTTGAGTTGGCAGCAAGTAGTTCCTGCTTTAGGCGAAGAACTTCGGATGAGTCGGTGTTAGTGGCGTCCGGTAGGGCTGAATCTTGGGCAAGAGACTGAACTGGCCCCGAGGTTGAAGTAAGCGGCAGAATACTAGACGGTTTGTTGGCTCCACCATGCCCTTCTAAGCTCTCATAGCTGCTATAAAGAGCACGCCTCTGCCGATCAAGTAAAGTTTGCTGCTCGGATAGCCTTGTGAGTATTCCCTGGTTTGTTGAGAGCTTGATACCTGATGGTTGAGGTTTGGGCGAGAGCCTGGCCAGTAGTTTTCCCATCTCGGAGTTATCAACTGGAGAAATGGATTTTGGATGTTCCAACTTCTGCTTCTGGGATTGTGAGACACTTTGACCTTCATGGAATTTTTGTTTGGAAGAAACCTGACCTTGTTCGATGGGATATCATTGAATTCACCAACCGTGGGTTGAAAATTCCCAAGCTTGGAGGATACCAGAGGATCGGGGGGGCTGTTAGAAGCGTTCATATGCTTGTTGCTCTAGAGTAAAGTATGATTATTATGGAATAGCTGCACTCTTACTTTCTGCAGCACTTACGGATGCTTCACGTCCAAAGGATGATGTTTGTCCATCGTTTGAGAATAACTTGACCTCAGAGAGTCTGCGGCCGATTGTAGGAGACCCGGTGGACAGTAGTGACATTTCTGCCTAGATAGTCGAAGGAAGCCTTCATAAACAAGCAACAATTTAACCACAATCAGGCTGTTGGCTAGAAACGACACTGTCTGAAATCCAAATGCTTTCACATGCAACAACAAACTGGAATTGGGGCAAATGCTTAAAAGATGATAGTAAGTGAAGAGATAGGCTTTATCTTTAGTGGGGAAAGAGACGCGAGATAGATGGCAGAATCTAGAAGAGACAAGATCAGAAATGGAAAGATTGGGGCATGGACACTAAAAAAAAGAAATAAATCATTGGTGTATGGTATTGGGAAGTAACGATGGGGACTAAATGGAAGAATGCGCTAGCCGCTAAGGAAGTAGGAGGAGTATCCATGGAGAAGACCTCACCTACCAGTACTAGGTAGTGCTAGTAGAATGACCCAAAAACAAAATGTGAAGACTACCGTGGGAGAGAATTGCCTATTATATCTGGCTATGACCAGATCAGTATGCCCCGGATCTTCCTAGTGATATTCATCGGCATCTAGCAAGATAGCTAGCACATACAGGAATCTACATACCATAGCAGCAGCAGTGGCACTGAGTACCTAGTATGGTGCAGCTTGCTCCCGTATGAGTTTGATTATCAACACCGGAAATTCCACTTGACAGTATCTGTTCCACTTTCATAAATATCCTGCATTGAGATGGACCTCTCCAGTGAAGTCACTTTCCTAAGCCCAGCTCCACTTAAGTAAAGTAATAGGCCATGCCTGACCTTGAATAAACTAGTATATTTAGTTACTAACACGTACTTCCTGTTCAAATAGTCATCTACATCAGTTTAGCCATTTTTTGCGATGTGTTTAGGCCAGCCCGGTCATCATCGACATATTTCCAAATCATACCTTCCGTGGCTCTCAGGACCAGCAACTCCCTAGATAGATGTATACAACATTAAGCAAGAAAATTCTTTTTTTTTAAGCAGATCCTCCCGGAAGTGGCAGAAGTAGCACTGCTACCAGTGCTACTAGTAGTAGTACGGAGCCCAAGCTTGGTGAGATCGGGGTCATCATTTCAAGCTTGGAAAGTAATGCCCTTTTCGGGGAAAAGGTTCCTTCAGTTGATTCTAGATAGAGGTTAAGCAGAATCATATGGTAGCTTCATAAAATCATACCGTGCTAGTAATTGTCTTTTGTTCATTCGTTCATTGTTTCTATCGAATAGTTGAGTCATCAAGTGACTACAAAATTGCAATCAGATAACTTTACAAGACTTGGGGTGCAGATAGGTTGAAGTCTGCGACGGTAATATTCGACTAGATTAACAGAGATATGTCTAGAATTCTTCCACAGTATGAGATATGACTAGGTAGTAGCTAGTGTTGTATCGTCCAATCTCTCTCATTCATATCATCCATCATTCATGTTCTTTATCGCAATGTTACTCCCCCTCAGTAAACCATGTCATACCTTCGCCAGAAGCAAGAAAACAAAGCCAGTGGAAACCAATCGGTGGGATATTTAGATACCCTTCAAATAGACTATATATAGATCCAACAAACCTGTCTCTGGACAGTAGCGTCGAAAGAGGGATTTTCTCTCTTTTTCTTTACGAAGACTTCGATGATTAGTGAATAGTAATAAGATATGATTGTCATATATTAGACGTAGGCTAGTTTTCTATCATTCCACCTCTATTATTATTACAGAGTATATTATGTTCACTTTGGGGGTTGTCTCCCCTGACTCTTTAGGGTAGTATAGTACGCAGCGTGAAAGCTTAAATCCCTTCCTCGGAGAAAAAAAGAGAGAGAAAAGACAGGGACGTAGGGTAGAAGGGGAAAGAAACTGTGAGCTCTATTACTATCTATATATCCCAAATTACTATAGGATCATTTTATCGTAATCAATCGTAGATATGCTGGGGATCTATGACTACACTGTTTGTCTATAGTTGAGTTCTGTGAATATTGTCAACATACTCCCTACATAAATCATGTTCATCAACTGCCGCTATTTCATCTACTACTACATGCAAAATGATCTCCAGTTCTTGGCACCTTTTTTCAATTTTCGCGCACCATCTCTGTAGATAGCCCATTTTTTGAACGCTCATAACTCAGCCAGTTCGTTATTAAATTGAATTCTGAAGTTTAGAACTAAATCAAGATAAATTTAGTTTACTGCAGATATTTTATACTTCTGATAGTACTGATTTTAAAACTCCACTCGGAACTAGAAATAATTAAGAATGGGCTGAGTTATGTAGGTAACAAAAGTGCCAAGAACTGAAGATCATGCATACTTTGTACGCTAAATCTGTCACGTGGTTCTACCATCAATATTACTACCACATATGCCAGACGAAGTAGGCCTGAATCAAGATTGACCGCGAAACAACGCACTTTAGGCATTAAATGGCAATCAGTATTCAGAGTATAGAGGCACACATGTAGATAAATCAACGAACAAGACTGATATACCATTATCTTTCCTTCCGTGGCTAATAAATTATATAGGTTCATGTAACATGCATTCAGTTGGTATGTGCCGGTCAGACAACGATGTTACTAATAAGACCTATGCTACATTGTAGTAACCAGGGCTTCGTCTCATGACTCGAGTTCAGCTTGTCAGAAGTTTTTGAGCCGCACATGAGACCCCTTACGTAGTAAAGTACTCTGTACACATTTAACAAGTTATACTGTGTAATTCCATTATTTATGGAGTAGGTCACGGGTAGGATGCCTGAGTACTCCGTACGTATCCCGTAAATTAAATTTGGTGATAAGGTGTGGTCCCGCACCATGTTCCCATCCTTGATGTTCATTCGCTAGAAAGGATTCGTCATCCAGCGACAGAACCGCAAACGTTACAAGACTGCAGTTGGATACTGTTCCATCCTATACCCCAACATCCTTCTAAGTCGACTTCATACACCTTTCCACCAGCACGCGAGAATTCTCCTTGAAAAATTTGCCTGAGAGAGTCGGAGTAATTGGCCTTCCTCAGCTTCTGCCCAGATTATCACGGACGTTTGTACGGCCGCTCAACTTTACCGTTCAGATCTATTTTTTAGTCTTAAGGAAAACAAACCACAAAGACATGAAAAACCAGTTACCAAGTGATTAGGAATGACTACAGCGATTGTTACTGGCACTGGACGGCGCTCTTCTATACGACAGTCAGATTTGCAGACTTCAGCGACTGATTGTACCTCACAATCGATGACTACCAGTCCGATAGACAAGTTCCCGCAATTCAAGGACGATCAATATGAAATAGCTGCAGATTCAAGAGAACCTCATTCAAGTTTTGCGACAAAGTATACACTGAATGATCGCTGGGAACCGCGCAAAGCATCCCATTTTGCTACAGAGTATACAGTCAGGCATCCAAAGCATAAGCCGAGAAAAAGCATCAGCGAGGCAATCAGTACCATCCGCACACGTAATGCCAGTGTGAGTGCCAATGCGCAAGAATTGGCCCAAGCCCTCCGGGCGCCGGTGTCATATAAACTGATAGTATGGTGAATCGTTCTTGCGCCTTATCAGGAATCATGGCTCACGTCTACATAGAGTCTTTGCCTTATCTGGTACATGACCTCCGCCCTAACAAACACGTCGTCGAAATCCATCTTGAATGCACTCCCAAAACCCATTACTCTTACAATTGTGCAATTCGCTTTTGTATCAATATGGTGCTTATTGCTGTCATATCTATCGAAGATACTACCATGGCTCAGGAATAGTGTACCAGCCCTCAAAAACGGTATCCGTTACCCCTCACGCGATGTTATAATGACTGCGTTGCCACTTGCAGCATTTCAGCTAGCAGGCCACATACTAAGTTCCATGGCCACTTCCCAAATACCTGTCTCGCTAGTTCATACAATCAAGGGACTATCGCCCTTGTTTACAGTCTTAGCATATCGCGTGTTCTTTCGCATCCGATATGCCAGTGCTACCTACCTATCTCTTGTTCCTTTGACTTTAGGTGTTATGCTTGCTTGTTCCACTGGGTTTTCCACCAATTTCTTTGGAATAATGTGCGCATTGGTTGCGGCTCTAGTCTTCGTTTCGCAAAACATCTTTTCCAAGAAGCTGTTCAACGAAGCAGCGCACGGAGAATCGGAGACACAATTGTCTGCTCAACGGAAACTGGACAAGTTAAATTTACTTTGCTACTGCTCTGGGTTGGCCTTCATACTAACGCTTCCAATCTGGGTTCTCTGCGAGGGTTATCCATTACTTTCAGATATAATGCAGGATGGAACCATCTCGCTGTCAGACAAGGAGAACTCTCTAGACCATGGTGCTCTCATATTTGAGTTTGTGTTTAACGGAGTCTCCCATTTTGCACAAAACATCTTAGCATTCGTGTTGCTATCCATGATATCCCCAGTTTCTTACTCAGTCGCATCTTTGGTTAAGAGAGTATTTGTCATTGTCGTTGCGATAGTATGGTTTGGCAATTCAACTACTGCTATGCAGGCAATTGGCATTGTCCTTACGTTCATTGGACTATATCTCTACGATCGCAACAGCCATGATGACCTAGCAGACCAAAGGGCGAACGCAGACCACTTTCGTCCGAAGGAAAACGTACTTCCTCTAAACATCCGGAGTACAACTAAAACATGGGATTCGAACGGTTATGTATTTCCATCGGGGAAAACTATTGAACGTCAGTTTCTAGACGACACGCATTCTTTTTCAACCAACCCGAAGAAGGACGATAATAGACCAGGCCGAGTCCGCCCCAGGGGAAGCAGTAATACTAGGGCATGGCTACCACCTGGCACAAAGCAAGAGACGACTTGGCAGCCAAGTGACTCTTAGATGGTCTTGGCCCTGATTTTCATGGTCATTACTCTGCTCCTCGGAGTGGTCTGATCTTGCGGCCTAACAATGTTCAATTTGCCGTGAGGTACCTTTTCTCTATCTTTTTCTTGCGCGTGCTTTCCCCCTTTTTTTCCTGGGGGCCGGGGGGGCTGTTGAACAATATCTTTGTATTGGTATGGAAGACTCTTAATAGAAGTACATGTTCAATAAGCTTCCTTTACAATGCTGTGATTTCGCGTGCCTTGTTTGCAGCTATATAAGCTACGCAGTACCTTCGAATAGTAGGAGAGTTAGCAGTGTGCGAAATCTTAACCAGTCAATGACCTGGCTCGATCGCTTAATTTCCGACAGAACTTCCTCAAGATATTCCTTAAGTTCTGAGGCTGTAAGCCCATGAAAGTTACCAGGGTGTACTTGGATACTAACAAGAGTCTATTAGAGAATAACTAGTGCCCGCTCGTTCGTTTATATCAATACATATACAACAATGAGTGTTGCCACTGTCAGTAAAGAACTATACCTTCATCAGGTAGTCACATCAATAGGATGAGAATAACCTTAAGGAGCTCCAGCTCAGTGCATTTGTTCTTGGGACATGTAGCAGAGGGGGGAGGGATAGAAGAAAGCCCTGCCACCTACAATAATCATGCCCGTGAATGAGTTTGATATGAGAAAGAGAGAAGAAAAAGAAGAAAAAGAAGAAGAAAAAGGGAAAGAAAAACACCTCCATGGTGCTTAGAAAACGTGACTAAACGGTGTGACTCGGATTAAATGATTTGCCGCATAACCGAGCCAATGCGAGGCGGGCAATTTGCGAGTGACGCCCCGACTTGACTGGCAGAATCCGAACAAGCCAAAAGTGCTCTCTTTAAGAACATCAGCTCTTCAAGCTCTGCATTGGGCCTCATCCACCCTTCTCCTCTTCCAATTACTTTCCCTTCCCTTCCCTACCCTTTTAATTTCTCGCAGCATGCGGCCGCAGTTGTTTCGTGCGGCCGCCCGGGCTGTCCGGGTCCCAAAAGTCAACTACCTTAGATCCTTTGCAACGACAACCCATCGCCTCGCCGAAGTAGAACTTACAATTGGTATGGCTTCGTTGATCTTCTAATTCCATACCTGTGTTGAAGCTGATTTCCATGGCTTTAGATGGCAAAAAAGTCTCAGTAGAAGGTGATTTAACCTCGCGATATGACGTTCTAGCTCTCCCTGCTCACACCTTTCCACAGCCGGGTCAGCTCTTATTCAAGCTTGCGAGAAAGCGGGCGCTACAATCCCAAGGTATAGTGACGTGCAGTGAAGATTACTAAATAAAGCTAACCATAATCCCAATAGATACTGCTACCACGAGTACGCTCAGCCCTCTCTAGGAAGCCACGTTTATATCCTCTGCTAACATCCCAACAGAAAGCTTATGATTGCAGGAAATTGTATGCTCTTATATAACGCCAAATTTAAAGATTTGCTAATCTTGCTTTAGGTCGTATGTGTCTAGTTGAAGTTGAACGTGCACCGAAACCAGTGGCATCGTGCGCTTGGCCCGTACAGCCGGGAATGATTGTGAAGACTAACTCACCGCTTGTCCACAAGGCGAGGGAGGGCGTTATGGAATTTCTCCTCGCTAATCACCCCCTTGATTGCCCCATCTGTGACCAGGGTGGTGAATGTGATCTTCAGGATCAGTCAATGCGTTATGGTGCCGATCGTGGGCGCTTCCATGAGGTTGGTGGCAAGCGAGCGGTGGAAGATAAGAACATCGGACCTTTGGTCAAGACGTCTATGAATAGATGTATTCATTGCACCCGCTGCGTTCGATTCATGAATGATGTTGCTGGTGCCCCGGAACTCGGAACTGCCGGCAGAGGAAACGATATGCAGATTGGTACCTATCTGGAAAAGAACCTCGAGTCTGAGCTCTCCGGCAATGTTATTGATCTCTGCCCCGTCGGCGCACTAACTTCAAAGCCATATGCTTTCCGTGCTCGCCCATGGGAATTGAAACACACCGAATCTATTGATATCCATGATGCTTTGGGCTCCAATATCCGGATAGATAGCAGAGGTATGGAGGTCATGCGCATCATTCCGAGACTCAACGACGACATCAACGAGGAATGGATTAACGATAAATCGCGGTTTGCGTGCGACGGCTTGAAAACCCAGAGACTTACAACGCCTCTTATCCGCAGGGAAGGAAAATTCGTCCCCGCGACATGGGAACAAGCACTGACTGAAATCTCCTCGGCTCGTCAGAAACTCCAGCCCAAGGAAAATGAGTTCAAGGCCGTTGCTGGACACCTAGTAGACGCTGAATCGCTCGTTGCCATGAAAGATCTAGCTAACAAGCTTGGTTCTGATAACCTTGCTTTGGACCAGCCAGGTGGCAGCTCACCCATTGCTCACGGTGTTGACGTTCGTTCGAGTTATCTCTTTAACTCGAAGATCTATGGTATCGAAGAGGCTGATGCCATTCTGTTGGTCGCTACAAACCCTCGCCACGAAGCTTCGGTCCTTAACGCACGCATCCGCAAACAGTATCTGCGCTCTGATCTTGAGATCGGACTTGTTGGTGAAAAGTTTGAGAGTACCTTCGACTTTGAGCATTTTGGCTCCGATGTTTCCGCTCTAAAAACGGCTCTTGCAGGGAAATTCGGTGAAAAGCTTGCCTCCGCCAAACGCCCCATGGTCATCGTTGGTAGCGCTGCAGCAGAGCACGCAGACGCCAAAGCGATTTTTGAGACAGTAGGCAGCTTTGTAGAGAAGCATTCGAGTACATTCAACACTCCCGAGTGGCAGGGGTACAATGTTCTCCAGCGCGCTGCATCTCGTGCTGCTGCCTACGAAGTTGGCTTCACCACACCCTCTCCAGAAGTTGCTCAGACCAAACCGAAGATGATTTGGCTCCTCGGAGCGGATGAAGTTAGTCAGAATGAGATCCCGAATGATGCTTTTGTCATTTACCAGGGACATCATGGTGATCGTGGTGCTCAACTTGCCGATGTTGTCCTTCCAGGTGCTGCCTTTACAGAGAAGTCCGGCACATATATCAATACTGAGGGGCGTGTACAAGTTACACGCGCGGCGACCTCGTTGCCTGGTGCTGCACGCGATGACTGGAAGATTATTCGTGCCACCAGTGAGTTCCTTGATGTGCCTCTTCCCTACGATGACGTTGAAGCACTTCGCGACCGTATGGAAGAGATTAGCCCTGTGATGCGCCGATACGATGTCGTTGAGCCAACATCTCTGGGCTTGTTGAGCAAGATTCAATTGGTTGAACAGAACAAGGGCACCCAGCCAACCCTGGCACCTTTCAAGAGGGTTATCGATGACTTCTATTTTACCGACTCTATTTCTCGGAGGTATGTACCCCTACGGTTGCTTCATCTACGTAATTTTTCGTTTCTAATCGAGATACAGCTCGCCAACGATGGCCCGATGCTCAGCAGCTAAGGCCACAGGAAACCCAGAGACAAACTTTATGGCCGCTGGTGAAATGTCTCCCCAGGCTCTGTACGGCTAAGCCCTTGCCACTTAAAGCATGATATGCCTAGGTTTTTTCTTGTTTGTCTATTGTCTAGGCGTTGTCGTTGTAACACCTATACTTCTTTATTGTGTTTTGTTCCCTTATCATTGAAACTGTTAGTCGTCATGTTTTGCCACCTCATTCCCAAGATGCCTCCCATATCACCCTCTGGTATAAAATGGGATGTCAGTAGCGGTGAACTTGTACATAAGATTGAGGTAAAATTCAGCTTTTGCGTATACAGGTACTTTAGGATCTTCGAGTATTCATTATAATACCAAACCTGTAGATGAAGCGTTAAAGTTAGTCGAATTTCACAAATTGAAGGGTGTCCAGCTTGTTGACGATGGTTATCACAAGATTAAAGAGTAACAAGTGTTCAGTGCAACACGAATTGCGGTATACGCCCAAATACTGTTTATTAATTACATACTGATACCAGTCATAGCTCATCGTCATCTGTCTCCCCAGCAGTATCCTCTGTATTATTATTCTCCTGCTGATGTGCCTGTGTTTTTGGCTTTGTTACGGCCGTTTGAACCTTCCTGGCAAATGGAAGCTCTCTTCGTGGAGGAGGAAGGGGCAGTTCCTTAATTACAGAGCGACCAGTTGGACCTCTACGTTCGAGCATATGTCTTTCGTCCTCACTGCCGGTCGGATCTGAGGGCGCGGGAGACCCTTCATCTGTGGTATTTTCGTCACTTTCCTCCAGAGGCTGAGGTGTTGAAGATCGCTCATCGGCCGTTTCATTGGCCTTCTCAGAGTCATTTGAGTGCATAGTTTGATCGAATTCCATTGTTTCGAATCCCGCTTCACTCTCCGCCTCATCATCACTCATTTCCGCAGCAGTACGCTTCGTGACCCGGATACTTTTGTGCGGTCGGAGATGCTGATCTGATGTTGCATTCTGAATGCAAGACACTGGTTTTATAAAATCACGGGTCAACGGTCAATCCCGTGCTGGATAATATCTAACCTGACCTCACCTTTTTCTGGGTCTACTTTTGCAGTGGCTAGCAGGCGTTGCTGGTTGCGTATCTTGAGCTTCTTTTCGTTCAGCAGCTGGAGAAAATTGACTATTAGTTGTTCTTCGTGCTGTGTCTTCGCGGAAACGAACTCCTCGAGCTGCTTGTTGAGTTGTCTAATCATGGTCTCAGCACTGCGGTAGCGAGCAAGCAAAGAAGTGAAGCGCTGCTCAAGGGTATAGGCCCTGACGGCAGCAAGCCCTGCCCAGTCAAAGAGCTGGATAGATTGCTGGTCATCTTGTCTGAGAGTCACGGATCCAAGTCTTTGCTGTAAATTGTTACGTTGTCAGAGATTAAAATATGTGTTTACATGCAAAATGCACATACAGTTATGGTCTGGATCCTCTTTCGAATAGTGATCACTAGCTCCTTATCTTCGGCGTCACTGGCTCCAATGATGCTAGCCGACGATTCAATACCACACAGCTTCTTCATCTTCGCGTCGGACTCATCCAGCTGGCCAAAGACATGTGACACAATTTGCGCCCATTCCTCGTCGTTACCTTCATAGTTTTTGGAGCGAAATTCATGTAGGTGCGACTTATGCACTGCCCTGATTGTCTTAGCTCATGCTCCATTACTTGAACAACAAATAAAATCCAGCAAGGTAAGAGGTCGGCGTACCTGTACAAGTATACGGGTTCTCGCCTTCAGTAGCCGTAACGTTCAAGTCCACAAGAGACGAGCCAGTGCGAGTGATATGAACAAGTACATATGATTCAGGATTGTCAGCCCTGGGTAGACGCAGAACCCGAGGAGACAAGCCAAGCTCGGAGGACATACTGAGGAGTGCCAGAGATGGCTGAGTGACAGGCAATTTAGAACAGAGGGAATATTGGTACTAATGCTGCTGCTGCTATTTAAGCTAGTATCTTAAAGCTTCAGATGCAGTGGGTCATCATAGGCTACAGGCCAGGTATAGAGATGGCTGCCTGTTAGGTTCCTCTGACCCATCAAAAAAAAAAAGGTAAGGTTAAGAATGAGGACGAGCCACAAAGTAGCACTGCAGGTGATGTGCGGAGGTATGGTGCAGTACTCCACTAACATTAGTAGTGCGCGCCTTAACTACTTTTAGTAAAATTTAAAACATTGCCATTGGAAGCTTCTCTGTTGGGAAGAGAGCTTCACGTATACTTTGACATGTATGGTTCGAGATTCTAGATAGATACGATGTATAAAGTCCTCGAGGTCTGTCTTGTCAAAGGCGTTGTTTGATTTGGCTGGTAATATACTATATTTATTCTACCTTGAACTGGTATGAAAACAGACTACCTAGAATGGGTTGGAATATTTGATACATCATTACACCCTGTAGTTTACTCTATACACATCGAATGTTTATTCATAGCTACCGGAGCAACCTAACTGGAAAAACCGCCCAGAGTGTGTCAGGCGACTCACTTCAAGTGAATACCAGGTACGACGTACCTACTAGATCCCTCTGCCGAACGCATCCAACGGCTTGTGGATCCGGGTGAACAATACTACTAGTAATAAATTATAATACTACTAAATAGTATTAATACCATGCTATACTATTAACTACTAACTAATTAGTGCCACCAGACCCAAACTAAAGATGAGACTAGTGAGCAAATAATAGTAGTACTGTAAGTGCCTTTTCCCATGTCCACCCTTTTCCCTTCCTTATTACTTAAATCCCCGTTCCTCAGTCATTAACTACCCCGGAGCACTTTCTTCTGGAAAAGGGAAAGATTCACTCAAACCTCACCCCTTTGAAACCCCCTACAAATCATTGACAGAGGCTTTCCAGTTGGGATGTACCCGCCAATGGTTGTGTAGTTCATCAACCCCTTGTTACCTAACGTTTAAACGATCTCTCGTCTGAAGGAATCCTCCAGCCACCACGACCACGGCCACGACCACTCCACAACGCGGACCAGCACGACTGCTGAGTATCAGGCTCGTGTCGGTTTTCTCCGTAGGCCGGGTCACCTGTTCCGTTTCTCTTCTGTAGAGGCACGCGTGACTTCGCTTTTGACCCTCTACCACCCGTCTACGATTCTTTTGGTTTTGACGTATCAATATTTTGCGAAGGAGACGGGGCTTCAGGAAATACGCACCATTCCAGGAAAAAGAAAGAAATCGCTCCACCTACCAAACCCGCAACGTCACCGTAATCCAGCCGATTCCATTCACACGGAATGACGTTCCTCTTCTGTATCAACGCAGTGGGTTTCAACGCCGAAAATATCTGAACCTGTCCCTCGGAAATACGATCTATACTTTTCGTTTTTGTTCAACACTTTTTCTGACATGGAGTCGTTAACACTCCAGGTACGCCGTGGTGAAGAAACAATCGAATGTTGGGACGATGATGACGACCTACAATGCTACGAGGACATCCAATTACGCACCGCATCAAGTGCCACATCAGTAACTAATTCATCTATTCGTCGGTCTGGTCACCGAGATTCAATTTCCTCTCGTCGTTCCGGACGCTCCGATCTTGACTCCAACTTGGGTGAAGACGAGGATTGGCAAGTTCAACTATTGGATAATGAAGAAGGTGTGAACGAAGAAGCCATAGCGTCTGCCAAAAGTGCAGGAATTCCTTTACCTGCAAACTTGCCCAGGTCAGCTCTCGTCGGGGGCACTATTAAACGCCTGGGGCGGAGGAAACCTAAGCAAAACTTTGTTGATGACTGGTCCGAAGACGTGGAGTTCCCAGGACCAGATGGTGTCTTGGAGTTAAGGAGTCCACAAGAGTCGACGTTCCCGGAATCGCTCCGGCAGATTAGCTCTGCTGCTACGAGCCCTGTGAAAACGTCGGCCTCACCCTTCTGGAGTGATGACATTTCTTCCCACTTGCAGTCTGCACTCGCAAATTTGGATAGCTACCCGGTCGATGATAGTGTCGACGATGCAGATGATGTTCCTACAATCAGAGCTCCAGTATCTCGGTCTCCGCAGAGGAATGGTTTCCTTAGCAATTCGAAGCCTGACAAACAGAACCGTGACTCAGAGGACTTTGAGCAGGATTTTGAATTGCCGGCAGATGACCTGCCTTTACAACTATCACATCGACAGCGGATCTCGAGGATTTCAAGTCCTACGCCGGATGAATTAGATATTGACTGGTCCGAAGGCAGTATTGGTGTCCGATTTGGTGGTACTACAAGGGATCATCGATCGAATCCAAGCTCTTCGGTCTCTGTAGTCAGTCCCAGTGCTTCCAGTTGCCTAACTGCGGAGAGTGAGGATGAAGGTCTAGACGGCCTCATCATCCCTGACGGACCTTTGGACTTAGAGTCATCTCTTAAGAAGCGGCAAGAACCGAAGTATGTAAACTTAAGCCACCCGAAACTAGCGAAGCCAAGCCGTGAGTCGGCCAGCACAGATAACTTCTTCTCGGGTCTTGAAATCGAGGACGATGACGTCTTTGATTCAAGAAGGCTCTCGATAAATCCAAACGTTAAATGCAAGACGGAACGTCCTGGCAGCCCAGCCAGGCGTTCGGCAACTACTCTGACCTTCACGCACACAACAGGTTCCCCGAAGACTCGGATACCCCGTCTTTCTAATCACGATCGTCCGCACTCAACACACCTGGAAACCGTTTCAGAAAGCGGTGCTCCTCTATCGAAGTTCCGGACGCCTCCATCACGAGGAGGGGGGCATTCTTCGCATTCATCACTATCTAGTCTTACACCATCTGGATCTACATTAATGTCCCCGATTAACTCCGCTCCAAATAGACGACATGTCGGTTCGCGAGTCCCAAAGAGCTCCGTCGGTAGCGAACGTATCACTGCGGGAAACCAGCTACTGAAAAAGAAACGGTCAATGCCATCGATGCGAAACACACAACAGCCAGCGACACCATCTTTCCAGCGCTCCCCTTCTCGCCTAGACGGATCGAGCTTTTCTACCATCCGACCAAGAACTCCGGTTGATCGCGCAAATGACGTGAGAGCATTGAACCGTAAATCACATGCACCGTTTATCCCAGCTGGGGCGTCAGAAAATCAGTCACACCATGCCAGTGTCAAAAGTTACCGGCCATCCCGTCGTACAAATTCGGATAGCTCCAATGACACATTCAATTCGCAAGCGCCATCTCGCCTGTCTCGGTCAAATCGCCATGATGCTTTCGGTAACAGTATAAATGATTCAAGTCCCGAGGCCTTAGTCACTTCCTCAAAGAGAACACTTACCCGCCCAACCCGTCGGCGTAACTTTGGTGATGGTACTGAGCTGGCATCGTTTGATGACTTGCCAACGTCTACTTCAGCAGAAAGCCGATTCGTGAAGCTTCCTTCTGGACGTGGAGCCCCGCGGTCTCTTCGAAGTAGGCTGAATCGAAGCCACACCATACCAGCGAGGACACAAACTCCTACCCCTCAACAATCGGTACTCGGTACTACCTCAAAATCTCATGACTCCACCCCCAGATTTGCACGGGACACCAACGCTTCAAGAAACGCAAGGGAGCAGCGCATCGCCTCGATGACATTCAACGCAAAGGCTCGTGAGAATGCCTCGCTTACCTCTTTGAACGCAATCTGGAAAGCACAAACAGTCTCGCGGGTTCCTTTAACCTCGGCAATAAGAAGCAGAAAGGGTAGACCGGCTATTGCGGCTGGATGCAAACCACACTTAATTAAACCTTTGGGAGCAGGTGTCCAGGAGCCCAAATGTACGTTGATTCTCTGTTCGGGGATATTGGACTATAGACTGACTGACCTAGCTGTAAATGGCATGCAATATAACCCTACTGCTTTCCGTTGGGAAGGAAATGAAGGCTTGATTCGGGAGTTTGAAAAGGGTTCACCCAAATCACCAAAGCCAGCACCCGCTCTTATCACTAATGTAGGCGCGATGCAGAATGTGCAGGTAGTTGGTGGGATGGTGTTCGATCCACAACGTATGTGCTGGCTTAAACTGGCGCCACTGCAACCAGGGACAAAAGGGCTGGTGGCAATCCAGGATGAGGATGATGTTTTCGCCGGTCTTGGTGACCTCGACGACAAGACTAGCAGTTCCAGACTGCGAAACTCGAGTACCTATGACGATTTTGGGTTCGGTGGGAGCGGTGATGATCGAAGCTGTGGGGATTCGTCAGACGAGTGGCCTATGACGGAAGAATTTGATGTTGGCCCAGAATTCATCAGGCGTCAGCGCGCAGAAGAAGAAAAATGGAGACGTAAAGTTGATAGGTGGGTCGGCTTCGATCGTATGAGATTTGGGGACGGCTGGCGATGGGCTATTCGAGACTTGGTGCAATTTAACAGTACGTGGGACCACAATGGTGGGTGATCATCAAGGCATATTGAACACATACCCTTTCTGTTCCCACCACCCTCTGGCGAAAAGGGCGATGGAAAAGTAACGAAAAAAAGAAGAGAGAGGGCCGGGAGGAGGGTAAGAGGGAAGAAAAAAGAAAAAAAAAAAAACCTAAGGAAGAATGGGAAGGTTGGTGAAAGAGAAGTTGAAGCAGTGATACCCATTGGAGACATTGGGGTTATACTTCATTGGTCGATGCTCCACCTCCAACACTTCAAATATTTTGATGATGGTAAGAAACGTTTTCACGATAGTGGGATAACCCTATTTGTGGTTAAGCTGCAATGGGCATCCTGCATGAGGTTATGACTAAAGGCTATGGACTCCTTGACCTTAATGAACCGGTCGATGCTATGATCTTCCTCTCTGTCTGCTTTTCTTAAAATAGGATGTCGTGCCTTATGGGAGTATCGATACTAAAGAAGCAGGAGCTCTATGTATTTATAACTGCCGCGGTATATACCTCTTCATGTAAATGATTCAAATTCTCGTACCGACTCCATGTCCATTAATGCATCAGCCGTTCCGTTTGTATTAGACTAAGAATATCGCTCTAGGTAGCGAATCCGAGCATGGGATCGCCCGCCTCGATGAACAATTGGTGACAATGAGAGTATACGAGAAATACTACCTACCTCCTCATTTGCTTGTCTACTTTTTTTTTAAAAAAAAAAATAAAATAAAATAAAATAAAATAAATAATTTTATTCCCTCTCCCGACAATTGTTAACACCCATCGAGCCATTTTCGCCGATAGGAAGAAGAAATTCGAGGGGGGTGGTTGAAACAAAATCAGCCACATTTAAAATTGTTTCCTGTATTCCACATAACCTCACTGCTCTATCATCGTCTTGCTATTAGAAGTCTTCAATCAAGTCCGATCAGCCACGGCAGGCGGAAGCTGTTGATGAGTCTATACTAGGTCGACGCAGAGTATTATACCGTGGACAAGGGAGACCGTGCACCAAGTCTTCTAGGCGAGTTGCAACAATTGCCAGGCCACCAGCTTTCAAAATCTTACAGGGCACCCTGGTGATCTATCAGGGAACAAGTTGATGCACTCTGTTTACGAAACTGATAACACTAATGTATGATATGCACCTTCCCAGCAGGCCTCAGCCAGCCTCCGATGTTTTCTGTGAACATTGCAATTGTTTGTGTGACACAGCATCGGATCGACTACACGAAGACCCGAAAGGACAACTGATCTCTTCCTTGGCCAATGATATCGTAACAACTAGGTTGCCAACGCACTCAACCATGGAGTCTGGGTAGTATAGTAACTAACGGTCAAGGGACTCAAGGTAGACTTCATGGACCAAACACCCATGGCTCTCCTGAGTCCTGCTGCCCAGTAGCACCCACCGTATTGGTCTCACCTTAATATGTGTCAAATACATCATGGGTACTAGTTTAATTACAAGGACGGTGCCCGGTAGACGTTCGGTACTATCGCCCACTCGGTTTTTGCAGCTATTAACATAATCCATGCACTTGAATGGGTCACTAATGGGCGTTACTTCTATGATCCTGTCCCAAAACAAACCAGGGAGCATACAGGGCATACCCGGGTCCCAGGTCTTAGAGTAGTTGTTTGTACCGAATTCTAGAACGTGGCCAGGCCCCTCACCGCAAAGCTGACCATCAGCCACGCATTTCACGTCTACTATAGTAGTTCCGTCAAGTATAATTTGCTGGGTAGGTTCTACTACTCTTCCCCCCTTGTCCCTGTGCAGAAGTCCTAGCTTTATTTGGGATGCTATTTCTAGGGACACAGTGTACTTCGTAAAATAGGGTAATATAGTAAAGAGGCACATCTAAGACGAAGCTACTCACTATAAAGCTCTAAGTAGCCCTCTCCGCTCTCTTGATAGTGTAGTAGTCTACAGATTCGCCTTAAGCAAACTGCTAGTCCGCCGGTGTCCTGTTTTGATTATACACTAGAAAGTATATGTGCAAATGATCTAAAAGATGACACTTTGCACATACGGGCCATAGCATTTTGTGCTCTTTGGTCAGAATAGAGAATCCTTGGACGACATAAAATTGGTAGACCTTGTGCCAATGCTTCTTTATATCCACTAGACGCTGACAGCAGTAGCCAATAATAGTAGGACTAGTACTACTTGCATCACACTTCTGATGATAGTATATCGTACAAGTAGCATAGATGGCTCTGCAGGGAACCCAGCTCCATGAAAATTAACCACTGATATCAGCCGACGAAAACTACGGAGTACAGCGTCCTAATAGACCCCTGTTCAATTGTTGTGCACAGATAGGCAACGGATGGAGCCTCGTCCATCCAATCCGGTTACTTGCAGAAGGGGATCAAGGTCTCTTAGCAATCATGTTAACATCACTGACCCTTTGCATGGCAGTGTTGTTAATTATGCTGGTAGCTAGTCTATGATAACCCACAGCATTTCCTGCAAGCAAATGGATTTAGGGAAAACCAAGGACCCTGGTGTAGTACAGTGTCCAGGTATATTGTACAGCTGTACAGGCATCCGCTGTTAACCAAAACCCAGTAATGAGGCATTCCATAGTACATACCTACCCAGGGCGCGCCATGGGAAAGGAATACACTCGTTTTTTCCGACTACTGGCAATTACGGGTATACAAACACCCAAGCGTAATATATAGGTAGATACCTATGTAGTACTAGGTAGGTAGATCAATCCTGTCTTTATGTTATGTGTGGGCAACCAATTCATACAGTACCGTTTCATAAAATACCATATCATACGGCCTGCCGTTGGTTTCAGTTGTACGTACTCAAAAAGCAGGGCTGAAGAAAGAGAAAGTTTAGCAAGAACATGACCCGTGCAGAGTATAGCCTAGAGATAAGTCTCCTACAGGACCTGTAGGTTTATTTCTTGTTTGTATTTCTCTGCTTCGCCCTTCATCTATTCGAGGCCGACCGATCCACATACTACTTAGTATGGGTAAAACATGCAGTACTTATCATACGGAGCGGTGACCGAAAGGGCCCTGAGCCCTTCTACAGAAGCCTGTTCTAAACATACGTTTTACAGATATCTTACTCAATTGGGCTCAATCTAATTGCCAACATGTACTACCTACATTACAGAATACACGGCCTAGAATTTACGCCTACTGCTGCCTGATAAGACCATGCCGTACATACACACAGTAAGTTACTTTTTTCCTTGATGCGTGGGTCTCCCAGGAAACTAATAAGGGGCTTCATATGGGCTTCTGCGCAGAGGCTTCGCTACTATCTTATTGGATTATGTATAGTATTAACCAAAATAGGGGGTGACAAGCCTGGAGCAGTACATCAGTGGAAGAATACTAGACGATTAGTTGCTGCTAGGTACTACCGAGACAAGGTAGATACACACAGTCTCTTGGTCTCTTCATCCTGGATGAGGGAGTGCTTGTCAATATTCAATGAAGGAGCGGTGCGTAAGAAGCATGGAAGAGAATGAATGGAAAAGAGACTCAAACACCCATCATGTATGTGAGCGCAAGGGTCTATTTCTTCAGTGCAGCCAATTGAGTTGATTCCTATCTACTTCTCAGCTAAGCTGTGCCTCTCAGTGGAATTCGGCCCTCAATCACAGCATGGACCATTGATTGCTTTGCAACGCAAGCACCTGAGAAGTTAAGTTACAAGTGAGTTGCTGGAAGTATGAGAGACCTGAACTGTATCACTGGCACGCATCCTCCAGAGTCTTAAGAGTCTTAGCATGTGTCCCTGATTAGTTTTTCTTCTCTTTCCTTTTTTTTGTCCTTTTTTCCTTTTTTCTTTTCTTTTCTTTTTCTTTTCCTAGATATCTCCGAATGCATTTCCTCCCAATGTCTTTGTGCCACTGAAAAGGAAAAGGCTCCATGGAGACTGCCAAAACTTGACCTATTTTCTTCCTTCCTTCCTCTACCTACGCTCTTTTCTTTTCCTTTCTTTTCTTTCTTTCTTTTTTTTTCTTTTTTTTTTTTTGCAAATTTTTTTTTTTGCAATTTTCTTTTTTTTTTCCCTTTCCCTCTCTATATCTCCATATTCTTGTCCGATTCTCAATGATAATGTCTAATTGTCTGATCAACCTTGTCGGTTGACTCGGTTCCACAAGTTCTTTGGCCTCACCATCTACAGGCCTCCTTCGCTTTTCTTTCTTTCCTTCCCCTTCCTTTTTTTTCTTTTTCTGCCGGTCTTATTCACAGTGCGTTGCTTTCGATGTGATGGTTTCTTTTTTTTCTCTCATCTTTCGCCCTTCTGCCTCTCTTTCCCTCTCTTCTGCAGGAGGTACCTTACAGAGTCTTGTCTGGACATTCTTTCTTAGCCCCAATGCTATATCCCCCATGTTATTCCCTATATTACTTTTTATATGTCAAAGTCGATAATAGTCAAAGCTTTTTTTTTTTTTTTTTTT